GATTATTTAATACTTAGCGCATATGGCACTGCAATTTATTATAACGATTTGTTTTTTCAGGTGGACCTCGTAAGTGACAGCTAACATAAAATCGATTTTCTCTGGTGGTTTGTGATTAGAAACCCTCAAATATATGTTTACAAGCGTGTGTTTATTAAACCCGCTAGTAAAAAAAAGTTTGATGTCATGAAAAATACTTTTTCTTAGTAGTGGATGGGGCTGCCGGACTTGCCATGTCGTACGAGGAGAGTGGCTCAATGACCAGTTAGACTCCGAGCTCGGCGCAGTACTACCGTGTAGGTGGCTGGCGCGCAACCTTGCCACCATCCACCGTGGCACGACGCGTTGTGCCGCTAAATGCCTCCGGTACAACATGAACGCGGGACACGAGGTGGAGGGCGAGGCCATGAGAAAGGCCATGCATGGAGCACATTCTCTATGAGGCTTCGCCGGCCACGTCCATGGCTACGTACGCTTCATGAGTTGGATTTTAATCATCATGATTGCTTGAAAGGTTTATCACAATTCACAACTGAGCAGTGCACATCTTAATTTTGTCACTATAGACTAGGGCATATGAGAACGAGAGGAACCTGTGCGGACCAGTGCACATTACCATAGGTGATGATGACATCAGGGAAGGCCTCGCATTTGAGATTTTGAGTAAGCAGGATCTCACCGGCGTAGCCTTGGCCCTCACCACCGCCGCTCCAAAGAGGGGCTCGCTGGGAAAAGGGGAGAGAGAGAGAGAGTGAACAACTACCTCGACAGTAAAGAAAGAGAAGGGGAGAGAAGAAGAAAGGGAAAAAAAGTAACATAATGAGAATGTTTTATTTATATTTTAATGTGTATCACATGTGAGTCCTAATGACATATAGGTACCACCATGGTATGCCATGTCAGTGTCCAGAATGGGTTGGAGCCAATTTGTGCCTGGGACAAGTTTAGGGACCTGAAAATGTATTTTGAGAGTTTTGCAGACCTGTATGACACAACATGATAGGTTTAGGGACCACCCGTGCACTTTCCTCCATTTCCTTTAATATAACAGATTTTGCACATAATTTTAGTCCACTAACTGTGATGGAATACATTCCAAAAGCTATAATGCAACACTATCTTAGATAAGACAAACAAATGAAATGTTAGGCAAAACCAATACACTAACACAAAAGGCATATGGTGAACAAATTTGAAACCATATAGAAACAAGGGATTTCAAAGAAACTACTGCAAAATAAAATCCACCAAGTAAAATCCATTTGGTAATTATGAGGATTGTTGGCATTTCTTATGACCACAGATAAATCCGCAAGCGCACAGAATACAATTATAGCACTTCATCTTCGGTGACCCCAAAAGGATATCGAACTCAGCGAACGTGTGTAATCTACTTAAGGCTAAGACTATCCAAGGACAACAACTATAGGTAGGCTGGCTAGGCTAGAGAGGACTTTCTATGTGTTTTAATTATCTAAGCTAAGCAAAGGTAATTTCCTATCTGTTGCTTCGGGCACCGACCCCTGCTGGTCTGCCAGCCTGGTTCCGGCTATAGTTCTATGATGTATCCGAATGTGGAGGATTACTAGGACGGGATTTAGGGCTATCACCACCTGTCGCCTACCTCTGACAAATCCGTGGGATACACAACAAACAAAGGTAATCTCTAACCTAAACACTACGTCTAAGTTATTAATTACTACTCTAATATTTGTGCAGGAACTTCATTCATTATCCAGAGTCCTAGTACTAGAGCACTTAGTATGAATACTAACCAATGAACCCGCAAAGATGAAAATCTATCTTACTTAGACAAAGTAATTAAATAACATAAGAAAAGAACACGAATGCTTACTTTATTGAAGAAGTTTTTCTGAACCCAGAGCAGAGTGTACCGACAGCTCAGGTACTCCTCCCGAATTCCTTCTAGGAAGCTATTCTCGTCGAGGTAGAAGTCGGATGAGCGCCAAACTTCCGAGCACTCCTCCAGAGCTTCCCCTCACTCTATACCTAATTCTAATGTACAAAAGATACAATAAAGCCTCTTGTAATTCAGCTCAAAGTTGTGTGTGCTTGAAGTGAGATGGAGACCTCCTTATATAAGCTCTAAATGACGGTTAGGGGCATGGGAAATGACCAAACCACCCTGTAAACGCCATAGGGGAGAAATCCAAGCCGTCCACATGAAAACAGATGGCGGAAAGCGCCAGGATGGGTTCGGCTGAACCCAAAAACACTCCTCCCGGCCTCTCCTTCGGCCGGGAGGTTGCTTAATGGCCCCCCAACAACCTATGCTATGTTTTGGCCCAATTCTAAATGGTTTTCACTGACTTATTAGGCCTCCAATCCGTGTAAACGTGTCCTGAATGCACTGAGGTGCATTTTGTCGCATGACGGATGTGTTTTCTCCTCAAATTACATGCATACACATATTTCACCAACACTGGTGGAAATGATTAGTAATAATCCCTACCACTAAGTTGGATACCATGTTTTATTTCATTATATGCAGGTATTGACGGTCAAATATTATGATTTAAGGACCGTTAACAAGGATCATAAATAACATCCAAATCCATCATATATGCAAGGCAACAGGAAAATGCTACAAAAAACAAGAAAAAATTTTAATCACTCTATTGGTTTAGTCAATAGAGTCCCACAATGGTGTTATCTACTGGTAGTATTACTGATATTATGATACTACTAGTAGAATCGATCTGAACTCTCGGTTCATAAGGGCGTATTAGTACTTTACAAACTCAATGTGTCAGGGTTACGGATAAGGTATACCCTCTACCCTTGGATATACGCTATGCGTCGATATGGTATATCTGCGCGTATACGGACGTTCTTCGTACACGCAAGGAAATCCATCATGGAGTCCACAGATGGAAAGATTCCTACTCGGATAGAACTGGGTCGTCACTGTATCGTGTAGGGTCCGATGTCTCCGAGTCCTACTTGGAAACCGACTGACCTGCGGTATAAAAGGGACCCCCGGGGAGGATCAAAGGCATCAAATCTCATTGCCAATACAACCGCCACAGCCTACGAAGTCGGAGCCTACAGGAGCCAAGTTGTCGGGTGATCTAGTTGAACCAACTCGACTACGGTCTCGTCGGTATCATCGAATTCTACTATTCCCTTTGTAATCTGTGGTTTCCACTATATAATCCCATATCAACTGGATTAGGGCTATTACCTATCAAGAGGCCTGAACCAGTATAATTCATGTTTTTTGTTTCCTTGATGTCGTACTACGTAGATCCTCGTACCAGCATACCCTAATACCCTCTATATTCGGTCTACGGGTATCCCCCGTCGGCACAATGATTAGAGGCAATTTTGAATTTTACGATTTTTATCAATTCTTATTTGAAAAAAAAAATCATCCATTCATCATAATTGTATTGCACCGCGCATCCTTCCATGCTGGTCTCGCTTGGAAGTTGATTGTTCATTTGTTCCATATAATTTCCGTGCAACGTCAGCTGTAGGTAGATGCAAATTTATTAAATGGGTGGCAATTCAATCTTGCTTGGTTTTCTTTCTTCCATTTGAAGCACTAGATCTCAGTTATATATTTTCTAATCTAATTAAGGGCTTATATATGGGGAGAGTGAGAGAGAGGAAGGGAAGGGAACTATCCCTAGATTAAAGAGAAGAACCAACAATCCCTGACACCGACGCTTGCTGCTCTTGTCGCCTGGCCTAGGGTTCGAGAAGATAGGGATTTTTGAAGCAGCCGACAATGTGCTTGCTCAGGAAGAGAGGTTGTGGGTGGAGGAAGAACGACGATGGCTATGCGACAGGTGTGGAAGGAAGGGAAGATGGCAGCGTTGGAGTCGGCGTGAGGCACGGATGTGCAGCACTCGTGCAACAGGAGCGCGGATTGGGGAGAAGGATGGGTTTTTGATGGGGTGGAGAGGTTGAGGTGAGTAAAGGAGATTTTATGAAAATACCCCTTTAGTTTCCATATGTAAAGTGTTATCCATAGCAACAAAATTTTCTCTTCTTCACATTGTATATCACGAAAAGACAAGAGTTGTTCCGAAAAAACACAACTAGGTGTCAAGTGCGCCGGGAGGTTTGTTTGATATTTTGTACGTAGACAATGATCTTTTTTCAAACTAGCCCACCACATGTCAAATTTTTCAAAAGAAGCAATTTTTTCTGCAAAAAAATAAGAAAATCGGTGTGGTTCTCACTGTGGGCCTGTTTGGCACAGCTCCAGCTCCAGCTCTCCTGAAGGTGGAGCTTAGCCAAACAGTCTCAACTCTATCTAAAATAGGAGCAGAGCTAGGTAGAGCTCTCTCACAAAATGAACTAGAGAAGTGGAGTTGGGTTTAGGCAGCTCCACGACTCCACTCCAGACCCAACTAGCTAAATTTAAGAGTTAGAACTCTGCCAAACAGGCCTGTAATTACTGGAGGATGTTATTATATACAAAGGGTAGACTAATATGTCAACTCTAAATTTACTCCGTATGTTTGCAGCTTCAAGCTGCATCCACAAATAGTCAAATATGAATTGCTATATGTTTATATGCAACTGTTACTTACATCCATACAAATACAGGCAATTCGTTTTGCAGGTACGTGTTTTGCAGTGCTACGTGTTGCATGGGAAGGTACTCAAAAGAGACGTTTTTAGTTTTTTACGATAGTTTTGTCAAACTTGGGGTGGATTTGTAAAATCGGTCTCCCATCTGCTTTGTTTGGGTAAAACAAAAAGCGAAGCTACTAGCCAGGCTCACGTGGAGGTTAAATTTCCCCCCGCAGACAGCCCCTGCCCCTCGCTCGCGGGTGGGGGTGTTGGAAGGTCCACGTTATTTGCCACTCTTGTGACATGACAATTAACGATTTGCCACACCCTGTCAATGACATGTGGGCCCTCATGTGTCTATGACATGTGAGCTTAGTGGCAAATCATTAAGCAACATCCGTAAGAGTGGCAAATAGTTAAAAGCCCCCTCGCTCGCGGCCGACTTGCCGTTTGTCCTAAAAATCAACTCCGTTTCCTCTCCAGATCTCCTCGAGTTGACTTCCTCGTCACTGTTCCAGCAAGCGAGCAGTACATCGATTCGTTGATGCTTCCCTTGGGGCATTAACTGCGCACTAATCCCCGTAATTAATCCCCTCTCCCAAGCCCCAATCCGTCGCAATCCTCCGCATTCCCCACTCCCAAGCCACAATTGCAAACCGCCAACGCAAGCCAGAGAGGCGTAACCCTCCCCCTCGTCTCCTCCGCTGCGAAGCCGCAGATCTCGAGCTGCCATTCGATTGATGAGGTAAGGGGGGTGCCGGCGCGAGAAGCGAGGTTGGCTGGCCGGCGGAGGGCGGGCTGTCGGTCGCGGGTGCGCCAGGATGGGGCTGATCTCGGGGATGGTGATGGGGATGGTGGTCGGCGTCGCGCTTATGGCCGGGTGGAGCCGTGTGATGCAGCGGCGCAGCAGGAAGCGCATCGCTAAGGTTCGTGTTTCGGGTGCGCGTGGTGGTGATGCTTCGCCTGGATTGCTCCTTGTTTCTGCGTATAAGGCTAGGGTGATGGTCGTTTAATTTTCGTGGTCGAGGTTTTGATTTTTGTTTAGTTTTTCCGAAACTTTTTCTACAGGCTGCGGATATCAAGGTCCTTGGGTCTCTCGGTAGGGACGATCTCAAGAAGCTGTGCGGCGACAATTTCCCCGAGTGGATATCCTTCCCGCAGTATGAGCAGGTTTGTGGTGATTCCTCCGAAATGTTCCTAGTCTTATTTTTGTTCTTGTCTGTGTAAAGTGTAAACTACTACCCGATGTCCTCAAATGATGACGTTTTAGAATGGGAAGAACTGATATTGAGTTTGTGACACCGAAAGTTTGCGCCGTTTCTGTTCTTCACCAAAAATTTAATACAGCATAAGCATGGTAGTACTGGGTCTGTGTTCTTGCTAGATGATTTTCTGGGTCATAGTTAGCGCAGTTGGATGGAAATGGTATAAAAAGGAGCTTTGCAAATTTTTTGGTGATATTGAAGTGAGCTTTCGATGGTTACATAACTCATGGATTCAGTTTCATGGAACCAAATTTTCCTTGAGAATGCATGCACCGTGCTGTCAGATCTTGAAACCTCAACTTGTTAACATATGCAAAATTATTAAGATTTGATTTGTAGAAATGACATTAATAGATTTGCCATAAAAATACTTTCATGCAGTTGCTCTTTAAATAATTTTCATGAATATGTCATTAGAGAAAAAAAAAGATCATATATGCTGAGTCCATGTCTTGAAAGTCAAGTAAAGAAAAATAATGAATGGAACACAATTTATAATCTAACCTTTTAACCCCTTCATTCACAAGTGGAAAATTGTAGTAGTTTGCATGATGACTTGTTTCTGTGCTAGTTTTGAAACTACAAGATCAAAGCCAAAGGTAGGTTTGGACGTCTGGTGCAATTCTTTTTAAGAAGCAGAGATCTCAAAAACAAAGTAGTGCTATAGAGGGTCAAGATGGGTACATAGATATATAGAATGTTTGTGGACTTGGCATGCTGGGGCAAGAGAGGAAAGGGACCTGGTTGGCTTTAAACGGGCTGTTGGGCTGGGGTTAACTGCAGAATACTATAGTGTGGTGGCTGGCTGGATGTACTTCTGGCCCATATCTGTTCTCGCATTCTTCTTCTTTTCGCATCGCCTTACGCCTTACCGCTAAGGTTGGGTTGGGTCGCCTTACATCGCCTTAACAGCCCATCTCAGCAACTAAGGCTGCCCTTGGGAGGATTGGTAAGTGCTGTAGCCCTTTGGTGGTCAGCAACATGCGGAGGCAGCTGCTAGAGTAGGACAGTAGGTTGTAAGGGATTTGGCTTAGTTTGACCAAAATAGATGCATTCATTTTGAGTTCAGAAACTATTGGCAATGTTGAGGATTGGTGATTCACATCATAGTATGCTTGCATGATGGATTGAGATTGACAGGCTTCAATCTTCGCAATTTAGTTAGCATTGCTACTTTGTATTTACCCCAAAAGAGGTGACAGCTTAATCAACCCAATGGTGAAATTTCGAGTAAACACTAGCCGAAATTCTCATATCCATCATATGGCTGTACTACCAACTGAACACTAGTGAATCAAGGTGGTATAAACTACACCTAATACAAACCTAACCAAATGAAATAGACCTTTATCTTCATAAAAGACCTTTAGCTGGCTATACTTATTGTAATTTGTAAGCTTGTGAAAAAGTTAACTGTGGTGAACATGAACATCATTACATTGACAGGATGTTTCATTTGTTTAGTTTTCTTGCAATTTATTACTCCCTCCGTCCCATAATATAAGGGATTTTGGTTGATTTGACATATCCTAGTACATGAATCTGGACAGACACATCCTAGTACAACGAAGCTGGAAAAACCGTCTGTCCAGATTAATGTGCTGGCAATATTCGTATTGTAATCCAAATACCCATCATAAAGGGACACTTCTTGATGCTTATTGAGTTATCCTTATCCATTGTACTATGGACAATGACTATTTTACCCACAATTTTGATTTCTACAGGTGAAATGGCTGAACAAGCATCTCAGCAAACTCTGGCCTTTCGTTGATCAAGTAAGACAAATGTTTGTTAAATCTCTAGGCTCTAGCCAACTGATAATAATGTAAAGTATGCTGTTAGTTTGGCAGTCCTACAGCCCCCGTTTGCTGACAACTATGGTATTTTCTTGTAGAAATTTTTATTCGTTCCTTTGATTACAAAAAAAATTCATTCCTATGTGTATGCTATTCCAGCAAACTTCCTAATTGTTATTTGTTAATAGCTTTCTTTGTCTTTAACACTGGCATTTCTTTGAGAGTTTTAGTTCATATTGTTGCCTGACTATTGGCTCTCTTTGAGAGTTTTGTGTAATAAGTGGCTGTAGCTTCTTTGAAGTAAAGGCCGGAATTTATATTCCATTATCTAAACAAAAACACCGGCATTTCCGCGCGCACGCGCGGGGGGGGGGGTATAATTCATGTTGATCTTTTTGTGTATTGTAATGCTACTCCTAACTGCAGGTTCTAAAGGTTAAACATTTTAACTTAAATATTGATCATCTCAATCATCCTGTCACTTTCATTCAAAGTGATATGCCATTTTCTATTTATACAAATTGTGCTTGGTTTTTGAAGATATATCAAGATACGCTTCATCAGTATAGCGTTGAAAGCATACCTCTATCAAGTTATCTTAACATTTTCCACTAGTATGCACAATGTCCTAATCCTTTTAATTGTGGTAAATATGTACAATTGTGTTAATAAAGATAGGACTTATTTCTTTGTTTTATTCTGCCCCAATCTCATTCTCCAAGTTATTTTTTTTCTTAAAAGTATGTACTATGTTTTGGTAGATTTTAGTTCTTCTGGGGGCTACTAAACTTTTAGTTCCATTTCAGGCTGCCACTGCAGTAGTCAAGGAATCTGTTGAGCCACTGCTAGATGATTATCGACCTCCAGGAATAAAATCTCTGAAGTTCAGCAAATTCTCTCTTGGAACTGTTTCACCAAAGATAGAAGGTTTTCCTATTATAATCTCCACGTTCTGCACTATTTATCTGATTTTTACTCTGTTGTATGCCTCCTGTCTGGGTTCTGAATTAGAGAATTCCTACAGTGAGAATAACAATCTTTGCATCTGATGTATGTAAACCAAGAACTGCACCCAGTGGTAATAGTGACTGGTGACATGCCTTAGGAGTATTTCATTAGATGGTTTTAATTGCAGGAACTGACCATCGTGACTACTAAATACAAGTTCATCCTTTTGTTTTGTGATTTGTGAATCTGACGATACACTCTTTGCGACCTCTGAGTGACTATTTTCTATGTAGATTGACCAACATTACCAAGTTGACACTTTATGTTAACATCGGTCGATGCAAACTGTCAGTCAATAATTGATTAATTGAGTCCATTTCTTTACGTATTTATGGAGGGAAAATTTTCAAAATGGCATGAGTACCCCTGATAACTTGATGTGAAAAAGCTTCAGATAGGATTTGTCGAGAGAGACAAACTCGTCAAATAGATGTGATATGGAAAGAAAATTTTGGCACAAAACAATGCAGATTGGTGTAGGTTAAAAAACACAAAATATGCCATTTTACCCTTCCTAACTGATAGCCAGCTAACAAGCAAGGTTACTTTGCCTACTAATTACTAAATACCAATTATGTTTTGGCCATCATCTTCGCAGTTTTATGTGTTTGCTGGTAATTTCTTCTTTACTATTGTCATGTACTCATGTGCCAACTGCCAATGTTGGCATGGGCCCTGGATGTGTAGTGCAGTGTGTAGTTACTGCTCATATGAAAAGTACATCGTCTTATGATTAGGCATGGGTTTGTTACTTGATAATCTAGCTCTTAGGTTGTTTGGTATCTTTCCAGTAGTTAGGCAAGTTATTATTTAAATTGATCATATCTATAATTGCTAGGGGAGCGGGAGTCCTCTATATAAGAGGTAGGTGAGTCCGCTATATAAGAGGTTTCTTGCAAGTATTGGCATCAAGCAAGAATAAACAAGTCTCTAGTCTCTATAGTTTCCCCCCTGCCCTTGTGGTATAGTTGCATCCATGCGATTGTCATTTCAATTGCTTCAGGCCTCCAGGGGACGGTCTTATGTACATTCTCCAAACAATGCTCATTAAATAAATGCTAATTACCTGATGTTACCTTTATGTATATTATGCATGAGTTCTTTCTTAGGGATGCCCCACTAAGCTATGTTTTGTTTAGCATCTTGATCATGTTAATGCAATACTAAATAACTGAGACATCACGTTTTGTCATGTTGTGTAAAGGTATTCGCATTCAAAATATTCAGCCAGGCCAAATCATAATGGATATAGATCTTCGTTGGGGTGGTGATCCAAGCATAATCCTTGCTGTTGATGCTGTTGTTGCATCACTTCCTATTCAGGTTTTACTATTTCTTTGTTCTTTTCAGTGATTAATTCTTACAGAAGTAAATCTCTCTTGAACTAGTCATGATATCATCTTTGCCAACCATCTCACAGCTCAAAGATCTTCAAGTCTACACCATTGTCCGTGTTGTATTTCAACTATCAGAGGAGATCCCTTGCATCTCTGCTGTTGTTGTTGCTCTTCTTGCAGAGGTATACATCTACAAAAAATGATTTATCTTTCTATTTCAAAGGAGATTTTTTTTCTAAGACAATACAGGAGATCTGCATGTCTAAGCAGAGACGAGTCTTGAATTAACAAGGTGGACATCCTAAGCACAGTTGTTCGATGGCAGCTATTTTAGTAACACCGGGTGCCCCTATCATTAGGATGACACAAAGTGAAATTTCCTTGAGATTGTTTATAACCTTATTAATCTGTTTCCTTGAAATTATTGATTAAATTACACATAACACTGTTCCAAGTATAGCTTGAAAGTGGACTGCCAAGGTAGGAGATTATGTGAAAGGGTCCTAATGAGAAAAGAAAAGCCAACTCCACCTGGTCCAGTTTTAATGTTAATTGATTAGAAATTGGCCAATCAAATAACATTTAAGGCCAATTCAAGGAAATGTTTCATTACTTTGGCCTATATCATTATTATTTTTTGAACTTAATACATGTTCCATACTGCAAATTTGCCATTATTGTTGAATGTCTCTGGAGATAATCTGTTGACTACATTTGAGGTTTGGAGTCTTTTGCTAATTGGTATGAGCATTTCCTGTGGTATTTCTTCAATGGCGGTTCTTTGTGCTTCAGCCAGAGCCGAAAATACAATACACTTTGAAGGCTATTGGAGGAAGTCTGACCGCTGTTCCAGGACTCTCCGACATGATTGATGTGAGATGAAAGTATTTTGAACATTTAATTTCTTCTAACAGATTATAAAATCCTGACCATGATTCCTCTCCTTTAATTAGGACACTGTCAATTCAATTGTTTCTGACATGCTCAAGTGGCCACACAGGCTTGTTGTTCCACTTGGTGTCAATGTTGATACAAGGTGACTTCTCTTGAATGTTGTCACCAGTTATAATCAATCCTGCTAACTGTTAGCTCTCCAATCATATGCAATAAATGTTGACAATGAGCTGCTTTTCTGTGTTATATTTATTGTTCACATAGTATCATGTATTCATTTTTCTTGAAAGGAACTTGTTTTTTAATCATAATAATTCTTCATTCCTTTGAATCATCCAACTGCAAGATGTTCTCGATACATGAACATTAATGCTTAACAAGAGATGTTGACTGCATTAATGATTACACGATTGGACCAGACAATACCTCAATACTTAGAATTTAAAGTAAATTTCATATTGCTCGAGCTAAATTAGCATCTTTTTTGCACAAAACAGAATGTTTTGATAACTTAGTGAAAAATTGGTAAGACTTGATCGGGAAAAAGGGTTGGGGAAAAAGAGATGATGAAATTGGAATATATTGATAGTTTCATTTCAAATTATGTACAGAGTGTGCTGTTCAATATCTGGCTGATTCCTCTAAATGACAAAAACCTGGCGTGTTTTACAATGTTGTGCCGATTAGGTGGTGTTAATAGTTTAAACATTGCACTGTTGTTTTGTGCAACTTAAACAAAATTAGCTGGGTCATCGTGTCACTTGAGTGACCTAGTCTGCATCACACATCCAGATTTAGTATCCTCCCATCTGAAAAAGTTGATAGGGTAGCTTTGTTCTGGAGTTCTTCAGAATATATTTCTGGAGTATCATTTCATCCAGGATTCACATCCCAATCTAAAGTCCTTATGTGATATTGAATACTGCATTTCCATCTAGGTGAGTTATGTGGGTTGCCAATCTTTCCATTATACTCCCTCCGTCCCAAAATATAAGAGCTTTTAGAGTTGGGCACGGGTATTGATGAGAAAAGTGAAATACAATGATGGATGGTTGTGATTGGTTGAGATGAGGAAGTAAGTGGAGAAATTAAAATGGTTGTGATTGGTTGAGAGGTGGAAAGCTAGCTTTACTTTGGGACAAATTTTTAATGCTAAAGGTAGCTATATTTTGCGGCGGAAGGAGTATATTTGGTGGTGGCCATATTTTTTTGGTAGGCATGAGATATACACAAGCATAATATGTTAATTTGATGCCTCACGCTAGCTTTTAAGGTCTGAAAATCACTAATATTTTTGTTTATTTGTTCTGAAAAGTATCTTTATAATGAATTGCATCCCATTGGCATGTAATTTCAAAAATTTTATTTGTCCTGCTCTACTTCATCTGCAGTGAGCTGGAGCTTAAACCTCAGGGAAGACTTACTGTTACTGTAGTAAAAGCAACTTCATTGAAGAATAAGGAGTTGATTGGTAAATCAGATCCATATGTGATACTATATGTGCGTCCAATGTTCAAGGTCAAAACAAAAGTCATAGATGATAACCTAAATCCTGAATGGAATGAAACATTCCCTCTGATTGTTGAAGACAAAGAAACCCAGTCTGTCATTTTTGAGGTAATTCTTCATTGTTTCCTGCATGTTCTTTCTCACATGCAACTATGACCAAAATGGTGTCAATTAAACAATAAAATATGCACAAATATCTCTAGTATATAGAAGACCACAGTGTTGTGAGTCTGCCATCCTACCACACCTCTAGAGTTGGTGGGTTCTTCTAACGGTGGATAAATTGATATTTTTGTGTATGTGCATTTGCTATTTGTGTATTGATGTTTGTTTGCAAATTATATATGTTTTCCCTGAGAAATATATATAATTTAAGTTTTTCTCTTATGAGATCCATTTGAATGCATGGGTTTTTTTGCTAGTATTCATATGAAGGGAATAGACAATTTTATCAAGAAAGATTTATATGCTTGCTTTCTATAAACAATCTGCATTGGATTGTAAGGCTGATTAATGGCTGGATTCCAGATCATGCTGGCAAATGGTCCAGTTATTCTTTAATTCTTTACTCATTTAAAAAAGGGAGTTGGGGTTGATGGTATGGTCTGTATCTACCCCCTACTCAAGATATATTGTAGTCAGATATATATGGACGTGTGTTGGTTGTAAAATCTTCTGTTAAAGCAATTGCATTCTTTGCTCATATGTATAAATAGTTTATTGATCTCATGCAGTTAGGTAAACATGTCAGAAAAATGCTCATAGAAGCTAGAAAGCCTGGTTCGCTAGTCCAGATATGAATTAAGACAAGCCTTAGTTATAATGTTCAGGTTTGTACCAAACAAGGTGACATGTGGGCTTGTAGCCCAGATACTGATGAACTCGATATGGAGCTCACTTTTCCTTAGTATGCATAGAAGAATATTTTGTTCCATAAATGGAAAGCAGAGGGATAAATTATGCTAATCAGTATAGCTGTCGAGGTATGAGTAGATTGCCCACCTTTTCTCCAATAATTTAAGCTCTTGGATTGGCTGGTTAGATTATGAACCTCAACATGGTATCAGAGCTGGAAGTCCTAAAGTTGACATCATGATAGCCTGACGATGGTGGAGACCATGATAAGCTGATACCATGTATTTTGCCGACATTGTGTTTCTCCAAGATTGTGCTACATCACAAACTTAGAAAAACTTAGAACTTCTAGCTCTGATACCATGTTGAGTTTTATGGCCTGATTAGTTAATCTAAAAGATTGAGTTATTGAGGAAAGGTGAAGAATCTATTTGTGCTTTGATGGGATATCAATAAATTTCTATGGACTAGTGGCATGCTCATGTGTGTGTACTATTTTTCATGGTACACATGTATGATGAATGCTCTTTGAGACATTAGTCATGAGTCAAGTTATGTCTTGGTGTTTCAGTCTTTCACTCAATGTGTCTTTTGGTTCCATTCAAGGCTTACTGTAGAATCATGCCCATAATTCAGAATTTTTCAGTGGATGGAAATGCCATGTTATCAATGCTTGCCATACATTACACGTGTACAGAAGTTTCAGACTATGATGCATGTGTCTGGTACTGTACATGGTAGTCCCATGCCAACTTCTATTGTTTAGTTTTCTGTATGGTGGTGCTATGGCTCCTTTTTTTTATTGAGGTTTAGCCCTAACACGTGATCTCTACCAAAAGAATTAAGAAGGGATAAATCCTTTTTTTTAACTTATTATCTCTAACTCAAAAACTGTCAAAAATCCTCTCCCGTCAAATCCTTATATTTAGCAGCTTATCGCTGAAGATAAACAAATCAACCAACTTGGGACAGCCAACAACATTGCACTGGTAGTCTGGTACTGATCGTGCATGAAGAGTGAGCATGGACCATATCCCTGCTCATGAAATCCACTCAGTTCTTTTCCATTTTGTCATCTTTCTTTTCCCTTTTGTTAATTTTCCATGCCTCTTTGTTTTTAGGTGGCAATTATTGTATACATATGGTAAGTACCACAACAATATATTATTAACTGCAACGTATTCCCTCCATCCCAAAATATAAGGACTTCTAGGGCTTCTTTTGGAGGGATTAAGGATGAAGGGAAAGGATTGTAATGCTTCATTAAATGAGGGGTGGTTGAGGGTAAGACTGGATTTTTTTTGTTCTCGAATACGCAGCAGAGCTGCATATCTTTGCATATAAGATTGAATATAATTAAACGATGAGTGGTTGGGTTGGGGAAGTAGTAGTCTAGAAGGCCTTATATTTTGGGACAAATTTCGAATGCTATATAATCTATATTTTTGGATGGAGGGAGTAGATAGTAGCTGGATCAATAATATTGTTAACATACTGTTTTCTATCACTGCTCAGCCCTGGTTTGGATTCCCTTTTTTTTGGTCAATAGAGCCATTTCAAATTTGGTTACCCTAAAATGGACCTAATATATACACAGACAATGTAATTTAGTTTTTTCTCCTTAATTTCATGAGCTTGTCCCATCCCCCTAGGCAGTTTTTAGTCAGATTATGCTACATATTGGGTGGCTAGAAGGGATTACACAATGTCACTATCTTAGTCTAATCTGCATTGCTATTTTCATGTCCAAACAGTCATGGGACAATACATGTAATTGTTTTTAACATACGAATGTCAGATGACAGAAATTTCTGATTTCTTTTGGACTAAATAATTTGCCTAATCAAACCAAGAGATGATGATACTTCCTTGGTGCGTCTTGGAGACTTGGACTAGAAAAAAAATCAGATGTGCTTTGAGAATGTTTCATACCTGGCAGTGATCTAGTTTCATTGAAAGTGCTTGGAAGGACCTGATGCATCATTGGTAGAAATTTCGGTTCAACTTGAATTCCCATAAGTTGTTTCTATCTTGATTGATTTTATGTGTTCTTAATATTATGCTTCTATGTGTCAATCTACTCAATGTAGTACCAGATAACATGCTTGTGAATTTTTTGCAGGTATATGATGAAGACAGACTTCAGCAAGACAAAAAGCTTGGTGTAGCTAAACTAGCAGTGAACAGTCTTCAACCTGAGGCTACCAGTGAAATCACTTTGAAACTTCAGCAATCACTAGATTCTCTTAAAATTAAGGACACCAAGGATAGAGGAACATTACATCTTCAGGTTAGCATGAGACTTTTGTTTTGTCAGTTTCTACATGTGACGTGCATTCAACACGTAACTCCACTCTAATCTAAACTATTAATACATGGAAAACATTTACTTTATTTCTCTACTACTAGTATATTGCACGTACCTTGCAATGTGAGTTTTAAAGAAAAATCTCAACCCGTTTTTGCCGTACTTTCTGCACACCTCTTATGCCTGCATATCTTTTGAGCTGAAAAGTGGGCCCTTTAGACTTGGTACTCTATTTTTTTTCCTTAAAAAAAGTAGGGAGTTGGTGGTGGTGGTGGTGGTGGCAGATTCACCACTCACCCCCACCACTTGCTTCTTTTAAAGTAACTTGCATATTGCCCGTGCGTTGCAACGGGATTTTAATTGATGAAAATGATCATTAACCTGCTATTATCATTATTTTCTGTATACATTCTCTTAAATTCTACATATATTTGTAACTAATATATGGGTTATATGGTCTAACAATATCATTTTTCCTTCCAAACAAATAGCGAGGGTGGTGGGGGTAGTTCATATGTGGGTCCTTTGGCCCCACATGTCCTTCACTCTGAAAGGGTAAAGAGTTGGTGGTGAGGGTGGTGGTAGATTTACCACTCACCCCCACCACTACTCCTTTTTAAAGGAGTATAGACTAGCCAAGAGCCCGTGCGTCGCAATGGGAAACAGATTGAGTAGTACTTTTATTATTTTTCTTATTGAACAAGTAGGTGATTTTGAAATTTGGTGAGAGCCAACAGTGGAACGGGGAAGGACTTGTTGAAGGGTGGTGTTGGTGTAATAGTATGGATTGTGGGGCCCAAGTGCCAGTGGTAGGGGTGGTGTGGCAGAACGGACACCACCACTACTAACATTTTAAGTAGTATAGATATAGATATAGATTTTGATAGAGCACTAAACCCTCCAAACATTTTTGTTGGCTCACTTTACCCCCTGAACTGCTTAAACTATGGTTGCCCTTGGCGTTTTATCTCTCAAGTTTATTGCATAGCATATTGCCGTCAAGATATCATAGTAGCTTTTCCTTCTGTAATAGCATGCACATAATATTGACATTTTGGTTGAGGAACCAAGGACATTTCCATTACCAAACAGGAATCCACATCTGCTGAAATCTCCATTTACATCAACTTAGCACAAATGATGGCTACACTCTTCTTTTTGTAGCTAGGATGTTTCATAAGTTCGAGGACATGCTATTCTGGTTTTTATGCGCAGTCTGCTTTTTGTAGCTAGGATGTTTCATAAGTTCAAGAACATGCCATTCTGATTTTTATCTGCACCCCGCGTGGATGTCAGATAATCTTTTTTATCTGAATTCATAATTCATTTTCCATAATGTTGGTTATTCATGCCACTTGTCTTGATGCCATGAAAGGGGATTCCATAATTTATTTTTCGTCATTGGTTGAGCTACGGCTTATAAGCCGAACAAAAAATAAACGAAGCAACCAAAAATGATTTTAGGGCAGGACTTTTAGATTTCTACTCATTGTTTTAAAAGCCAAGGTTGAAAAATAGAAAACAATGAAAGAACACCTAGATTAATTTGAAAAAAAGTTTCCCATGTCATGATTGGTTGAAAACATGAGTCTCATGGACTAAATGATGCGAACATGTAAAAGAATGTAGACTATACAATATTGAAAAATTATCTTAATTAAGATCACAAAACGTTGAAAGCCTGAATACACATACTCGCACAAAGCTGTGCACAGTTATAAATTTATGATTGCACACACGCTGTACATATTTATCTCTTTTGTAGGGTGTTCATTTTTACTATTATGCGCAATTTTTCTGTAGCTGCACATAGTCTGATATGTTTTACATCTATGTACTTTTATATGCTATGTGCATTTCGTAAAAAAAATGGTGCATTTGGTATGTTTGCTAGTTTAGGAAAATAATATTTGTGGTTGTGCATGATGGTTCTGACATTTTGCTTTTCAGGTCACATATCACCCATTTTCAAAGGAAGAACAGATGGAAGCCCTAGAGTCTGAAAAGAGAGCTATCGAGGAGAGAAAGCGACTCAAGGAGGCTGGGGTTATTGGTAGTACAATGGATGCTCTTGGTGGTGCTGCTTCACTAGTTGGTTCTGGTGTTGGACTTGTGGGCACTGGCATTGTCGGCGGGGTTGGACTTGTTGGATCAGGAATTGGTGCTGGTGTTGGGCTTGTTGGTTCGGGTGTTGGGCTTGTTGGTTCGGGTATTGGCGCTGTCGGCAGCGGCCTCGGTAAAGCTGGGAAATTCATGGGCAAGACTGTGGCCGGGCCTTTCAGTATGTCCCGGAAGAACGGTAGCAGCTCAACTGCTCCCCAGGCTGAACAACCTTCTGCGTGACTTGATGTACAGTGATTGCAATGGACATCGCATGTTCAGTTGCGTGTTAATTCTGTTTGATATAAACTTGTGATACCTAGAATTATAGGGTTGCATACCATGCATTTCAGTGTTCTGGCACCGTCGGTGTCAATTATATGACCATCTGTTGCTTTTTTTTCTTCGTTCTGTTTTTACCTGAAGATAAATAGCAAGATTAAACTGTAAATTGGCAAGCTAGACATATCCAGATCCTTTCTGGACAATGCAATGGTATTGAAATTTGTCGTTATTACCGTCTTGAAAAAAGTTACTATATACTCGCATCGTTTCTATTTTCCTTTTTTTTTTGGAGATGTCTATATATTCAGATGTACTACTAGTGGTGTATGATGTGATTAATTGATGACTCGTGCCAGACACACCTAGTATGGTTAGGGCATCTATAATGTAGTACAAAAGTAGTCCATAGGGAATAAACTATTCCATTCAGCCACCTAGTAACATTGTGCAACTAGTCCATATAAAGTAAATAACAAAAGGTATCCATATGCATATGGACTATCCATATAAAATAAATAATATTATCTATCTCTACTTCTCTCTCTTCTCTTAATGCTACCTTGTATCCATACGGTAGAGGAGTGATCCTCTCTAGCGGGTGGTCGTGAGACCCTCCTTTATGAGTTCGGCCGGGGGAAATGGCGCGATGATCGGGAGCCTACTTCCGCTCGCGGTCTAACTGCTAGATTGCTCTCGTGGCTGTGCGTGAGATCAAGGATTATACAGGTTCGGGCCGCTATTGAGCGTAATACCCTACTCCTGTGTGTGGGATTAAGATCAACTTTTACAAGAGGTCTTGAGCTCTAGAGGGAAATCTAGCTGTTCTTCCTCTAGAGCTTGAGCTATCTCAGAGTCGTCCTTTTTCTCGGTGGGCGAGGTCCTCCTTTTATAGTTAAGGGGATACCACATGCACCGTTTGCACCTACCCCTCCATGGGAGGGGAGGCCCACATGGCCCTAATCATACCGCTATCCTTTGCTTCAACCGGAAGCAGCATGGCCACCTGGCTTCAAGTGGGGCCCAGCGCCGCCCCCCGCCTGACACGGGGAACATACCTGTCATTCCCTATTAATTGTATGAAAACTTTGGCGGCTCACCATGCGCGTGGGGCGCCCCTGGCAACGTGTCAATGGGACAGGGTATACCTGCCCCCACTCCGCCTGACACAGGGCAGAACGTGGGGGCACTGCCCCCGTCCCATCGCCTATGAACGGTCACAGGCCGGTCAAGCTCGATTGACATGGGTCAATCGAGCGGCGCCACACGTCCCTCCCACGCCGCATTAATTGCGGCGCAGGACGGTTGGGGCGCCGCACATTGAAGGCGCGGAGCAGTGTTTTTCGCCCCGCCTGCTCTCCCCGCCACGTGGTGGCCGGGCGAGGGCCTCGGGGTAGCACGCCCTGAAAGCCCGAGGGGTGCGACATGGCACCCCGAGGTCCCCTGGCCACCTCAGCGCTACCCAAGGGGCGGGGGGAGGCGAGGCCGTGTAGCCACGCGACTAGATGGGAAGGATACTTTCCTCTACTGTGCGTACCCCCGGGCCCATTTCACCGACACATACATATTGTGAGGATTGCTATAGTTAAAGTTTATTTATGTGGGTCTCATCTATATAGACTACTTTTGCCATATACATTGGTGATGCCCTAACGATCGTGGTAGCTGGCTTTTTTTGCTGCCTTTGATATATCATTTTTATGATACAGTAAATATCCCTGAATATCTACAGTATCTCTTCTCTATAGGTGTATATAAAGGAGCTATGGTGGGGAGCTGAGCCTGTGCCGAGTTCGACCCTTGAGTTGCAAGCTTAGGGCCTGTTTAGATCCCCACCCTAAAATTTTACACCTTGTCACATTGAACGTTTGAACACCTGCATGAAATATTAAATATAGGCTAAAAAAATAACTAATTGCACAGATTCTGATTAATTTGCGAGACGAATCTTTTAAGCCTAATTGCTCCATGATTTGACAATGTGAAGCTACCGTAAACATTTGCTGATTAATTAGGCTTAATAAATTCGTCTCGCGGTTTACTAACGGATTCTGTAATACACCCTATATTATTTTTTTTAATAATAAAATAATACACCCTATATAATATCCGATGTGACACTCTAAGACTTTACCCTGAATCTAAACACCCCCTTACCTGCGTGAGACTGGGAAATGGCTGTGATTGTCGTACAACGTCAGTACGTCCAGGGGTGGGAAGGGTGCAGCGAGCCACCCATATGCAGCGAGTCTGCGGAGCGTAACGGTCTTCCATCCAAAGGATCCTTATCCTTCCCCAGCCCAGAGGGCACGGCACCTCTCCCTCTAAGACGGCACGAGCGACATTAATCGCCCCCCTCTCCATCTCCAAATCCAAACGAGTTGATCGTCGCATCGAGACCAAATAATGCCAATTGCCAGTGTCTCTGCCAAGCCTCTGTCTCACCTCCCCGCAAAACGAGGCAAGTGAAACCATCTATCGACCCTCTTTTAACTTCTACCCTGGATGTATGCGTGCTGTACAATTCTGAATTTATCTGCATGATTCTTTCTTGGCGGTACTTTCAGGATCATCCAGGTTCACAACGAAAGGTACATCAAGAGTAAGGGTTATGATGCTTAGGCAAAAAAATCCGGGAGGCCAGAAGAAGAGCTTTGATGGAACAGGCGAGCCTCTATATCTTGGGATAGACTTTGGAACTTCAGGTGCCAGATATGCTCTTGTCGATAAGCAAGGGGCCATACATTCTGAAGGCAAAAGAACTTACCCTCCTGTACGAGTTTTGTGAATCTCTGATCATTTTTTTCTTTTCAGTTTGGCTGAAGAATGTAGATGAACAACTGATTATCCCAAGTTTTGTTTTATTGGCTTAAAATATCAGTAAAACTGTCGTTTAATTGGATCAGAATCAACCAGCTAACTCCTTTTCAGTCCATAGGTAGAACAAGATTGAAAAATATGGCTGTAATTTTTTCTCTGCCATCATCACTGCATTGGATTATTTGTTCACTCCTAACGAGCATACACATCCTTTGGTTTGAGTTACTAGGTAGGTTGGTAGAGTCACAAACTGGGCAAGCTCCTGGAGAGAAGCTCTCTTCCATCTTCTGGGTAATATCCCAGCCATCTACCGGCCATCCATCTCTTCCATTTCAATCGACGGGACTTCAGCCACCACTTTCATCATCGACAGGTTTCTGTTCCTCAGATCCTTACACATTCCACATCGCTTCAATGCAAAATTCAGTCAGACAAAAGGTGCATCGCTAATGCAAGTATCTGACCATGCATGCTCGCAATTAGGAACAATGGAGGGATTCTTGCTGGCCCATATCTCTACAACGAGAGCTTCGCAGACGCGCTGCCAGCAGTCGAATCGATTGCCCCGGCAAATCATACGGTGCGTTCTGGTTCGTCCACCCTGTGCAAGCTTGTGTCATGGTGGAATTCGAGCTCAGCAGGCTTGAGCAGTAGAGATTCAGCGATACTGATGCACCAGTCAGACTGGTTGCTCTGGCTTTTGCATGGAGAATATGGTGTTTCTGATTATAACAACACTCTGAAGGTAATTATATATCTTGACACCCCCTATCCAGAGAGCCTTTACTTATTAATATGACTGAATTACACATTGGGCCACCTTTTATTGTCATAGCTTCACATTGAACCACCCCAAATCTAATTTTTTCACTTTAGACTAGCTAACTTTACATTTCTTGCACTTTGAACCATCCTGACTTTCTTCTCTAGCCATGTCTATGACTATCCTATACTCGGGTAAAGATATGACCGGCTCATAGGTGGAGGATTTCACTAGCGTGGTGGAGCCAAGTCCTCAATGCCGTTGATGTGCTAAAGAAGTGGTTTTGGATGGTCCAAAGTAGAACAAACATAAATTTAGCTAGTCCAAAGTGAAAATGCGGCAACCAAAGTTGGTCTAAAGTGTAATTCACTCTATTAATATTAATCATGTACACACATAGCGAGATGAAACTATATGAACATGTAACTGACGATGAATGTCCACATTAGTGTCCTATATATTTTTCTTTTGAGAAAAAAACGCATTTCAATGTAGTACAGGAATTGCTCGCCAGAAATTTAGGGCCCCTTTGATTTGGAGGAAAAAATATAGGAATTTTGGAGGATTTCAATCCTATAGAAAATTTTTTTATGAATGCCTTTGAATCAGAGGATTGAATCCTAACCAATCATTTGAAATTCCTATGGAATGGACAATCATATAGAGATTTTGGAGAAAATTTAGCAAGAACTCTAACCTTTTGGAAACTTCCTTTGAGTCTCTCTCTCTCATTTGATTTTTGCGTTTTTCCTGCGGTCCAATCAAACGATCATTCCTGTATTTTTCTTGTGTTTTTCAATCATCTATTTTACACTTCAATTTCTGTCAGAATCTTGTGTTTCCTATTCCTCTATTTTTTCAACCCCGCGATTCAAAGGGGCCCTTATTTATAGTGTTTTCATGCTGCAGGTGGGCTACGATCCAGAGATTGACTCGTACCCAAGTTGGTTGATGTCACAGCCATATGCTTACATGTTGCCGTCTGTTAGAGCACCCGGAGCTCCAATTGGCTCAATCAAGGAGGATGTACGCGCACAGTTTGGTACAGATCCAACTTAATTCTCATATTTTTCTTGGATCTCGTTAAACTATATATTGATTTGGATGTCGTGACTACAAAATGACATCAAACTTAGTAGCTTTTATTGAAATGTATGGCATTGGCATGTCAGGATTTCCCAAGAACTGCGTGGTCTGTACTGGAACAACGGACAGCATAGCCGCTTTTCTCGCAGCGCGCACCACAGAGCCCGGGAAAGCTGTGAGTTAATTCTACGACACGGATGAATCGCAATTCACAAAATGTTTTTTTTGTATGACACGTACGAATCAATCAGTGAATGGATCGATGATCAGGTGACGTCGTTGGGTTCAACTCTGGCGATCAAGCTGCTGAGCAACGCCCGCGTGGACGACGCGCGGTTCGGCGTGTACAGCCATCGGCTGGACGACATGTGGCTGGTCGGGGGCGCGTCCAACACCGGCGGCGCCGTCCTCAGGCAGCTCTTCACCGACGATCAGCTCGTCGCTCTCAGCCACGAGATCGACCCGTCGGTTCCTTCCCTTCTCGATTACTACCCTCTGCCTAAGAGAGGAGAAAGGTTCCCTGTCTCCGACCCCAACATGATGCCAAGGTACACAAGTAAATCATCATTTACTAATTCAACTCTTTTCTTTTTCATGATATATACTCGTAACACTATAAATCTACAAAATTATTACAGAATCCTAATACTATAAATCTAGAAAAAAATTACCCAAATTCATAGTAGAAGAATGTACTAGGTTTATTTTATTTATGGGACAGAAGGTGTAGGCCTCATTGATCTTGACAACATTTATTTGTGTTTGAATGTTTTTGTCTCATATATCTGCATTAAGGCTGCAGCCTAGGCCGGAGAGCGACACGGCGTACTTGCATGGCATACTGGAGTCGATCGCGCGGATTGAGGTGATATCTTTTTTCTGCGCTGCATTAGCATGAGTTAAAAGAAAAACTGAATTATTGGACATTGAAATTTGGTAATTTTTAGAAATCATGCAACTTTAATGGAAAATTATAAAAATAGATGTTGTTTATCTGAAATCACAAATTAAGCACCCTATTGAACAATGGTTGTTTGACAAGGTTTAAGAAGTTAGGGACTTAGATGTGTGTGGATGCATGTGAATGGGCTGTGGGACATATCAAACTTCGGGAATTCGTTAGGCCACCCCATGCATGCTCTTTTCTTTTTTTAATCAGGCCAACTAAGTTGTCGAACAATATTATCGAACTACGGTTGTTTGATAGGGGCTAAATTTGTGATTTTTATCAACCAATATTTATTTTTTATAATTTTCCATTAAAATTATATTATTTCTAAAAAAATGAAATTTGGTATGTGGACGAACGGCAAGCAGGCAAAGGGGTACAATCTGTTGAAGGAGCTCGGCGCGAGCATGGTGGAGGAGGTTTTGACGGCGGGTGGAGGAGCTCGGAACGATAAGTGGACGGCGATAAGGGGAAGGGTGCTTGGCGTTCCGGTGAGAAAGGCGGAGCAGACGGAGGCGGCCTACGGGGCTGCACTGCTAGCACTCAAGGGTGCTAATACTACGCACTAGCGCTCTAATTTAGCAAAATATATGTACATATACAGTTTTTTAATGATATATTTGTGTATGCGTTGCAATCGCAAACTTATAATGTACTTGCATTGTTTCTAAATATACGACACTGTTTACTTTTGGACATAATGTTTGATCTTTGTTTTCTTGTTAAAGAAATAGTGTGAAAAAGAAAAGTCATATGCCTCATAAAGAAACATAGTTACCGCCTAACCCAATAGCAAGATAATGGTCTGGGTAGTCCATGAATTAATGTTAGAGAGTATGATAATTTTAGTCCCATACAAATGAATCACATTTCGTAACATATGTACAGTTCATAAGTTAACTTTAACCATTAATATCTGTTTAATGGAAGGATTCAACATTTAAAATGTTGAGACGATGAAAGAAGAGGTAAATGATGACATGATGCCACTTTGAGGAAGGCTGGTCATTTAAACAAAAAATCTGGTAAGTCATTTAGTGCCACTGCTGCCGGATCAACCTATATATTTATTGACAAAATTTTCTTCTAGAAATTTAACAGATGCAACTATAGTACAATCGTAGTATAATTATACTGTAACTTACATGTAACTTGTATATAACTTTCAAAAATCTCTCTGTAACATGCTATTTCGGTGAAACGGAGGTCGTGGGAACGAATCCTCTCACATATGTGCGCGCAATAACTTTTTTCCTTCTTCACTTGCACAAATCTTAAAACAAATTTAATGGTTCAAAATTATATGAAAGTTATATGCAAGTTATACATTATAGTTACATTGTAGTTACATGCAATTTACAGTATTATAATTACATCTCTAAAATTTTTAGGAGAAAATTTATCGATAAATATATAGCAAAAGTGTTCTCGTTATTTGATGGGCAATCTAAGTAGCAACAGCAGCTAGGATACATCAGGGATACCACACACACCTATAGGTTAATATTCGAAGCTTTGGCCCTAACTCCTACATGACAATTAAGGGCAGCACACTATGCGCAGGATTTGGACAAAAATTAACAGTATCACACACGTTTTTAATCCAGATAGCTAAAGCCGCACGGATATCTTAAAGGGTTAATAGTCCATGAAGTGGGCTCTAATGCTTGTTCAAATAAGATCTGACCCATTTAGAAAGTTACAGACCATAAGATGGCAGAAAGGAACACTGTAAAAGTACGATATATTTGAAGACTGAAGGCATTCAGATAACAGCTCTAGGAGCAAAAACAGATGAGTAAAAATGAAGACAACCGGTACAGAATAACTAGCAGAAAAACAAACATGAATCTGCATTGAATTTAATGTGAAAGAATTACTCGTTACTACCAGTAACCGAGAGGAAACACTAAATGGTGATGGATATTTGGGAATATTTAAATAGGAAATTCCTCTCTCAAGAAGAAACAAGAAACCTGTCAATGGACGCAAAGCAGACAGAATAATACAAAAGAATTACAACCGAGTCTTGAGCTCTTCATTTCTTTTTCTTTTATTTGTGTTAGTATGCACTGAAACCTAGTCCAGAGAAAACTAAAATATATTTGGTTATAAAATCTTGAATTGTTCTCAGAAGTGTGCGTAGACTACAGTGATAAAGTAGAGTACTGGCAAATAAAGCCCCAGAGTAAAACTGTAGCATGTATTTCCTCTGTAGACATCACCATAGTTTTATACTTAAAGAAATGAAGTCTTTTTTTTTCAAGAAAGAAAAAGACTTGAAGATTTTTTTTTTGTGAGGAAAAACTGAAATATATTAAACTCCAGGAGCATTACAATCTCGAGGTAAAGGCTCGCACGCACACACAGGAACTTGAAAACGCCACACGGTAGATTGCTTAGATTTCAGAGCCAGCTGAGCAAGACTATGGGCAACACCGTTATCAGCTCTGTAGATCTTTCCAATCCTAGCACTGGGAAGCAGATTCAACTTGGCTTTAGCCTCGGAGAGAATATGCCACAGCAGTGATCTGTCCATCGGCCCATTCTTCAGCATATTTACCGCATTTGCGCAATCACTCTCTAGGATCATCGGCTGCTTAATCCATTCCACCGTGAGTCTTATGCCCTCCAGACAAGCCAGCACTTAGGCCTCCTCTGCCGACCCACAATTTCTTATCACTTTCCAAGAAGACAGAAGAACCCGCCCTTCATGATCCCGAATCACAACCCCGGCACTTGCATCTCCCGTACTCCTGACAAAGGCACCATCCGAATTAACCTTGACCCAATCCACCGGAGGCTTCCTCCAGTTAGAGAACTGAACTCCATCTTCCTTTACCGGCTCCGATCTCTGAGGACAACAACTCGCCTTGCCATGGAGATCCAGAGTCTTTAGGGCAGTTTTGTTTATCTTGCCGAAGAGAATCCCAGTAACTTAGCAGGAAAAGGAAGGATCCCTCTACACTCGCCCGACCCGCACCAAACAAGATATCATTTCGTAAGAACCACGCCCTCCAGAGAACGAGGAGAAAGCAGGACCTCACATCCTTTGACACATGTTGCAGAATCATCAACAGCCAACCGGCCCTGATCTCACCAACAGATTTCAGCCGGGAGAAGCCATTCCAGGCGCAGTCTGTCACGGAGCTCCCGCGCCCTTGTACATGAAATAAAAGCGTGGAACTCATCTTCCTCCTCCAGACCACAAATGCGACAGATAGCATTATTTTCCATTTTTCGAGTTATCCGGTTGCACATAGTAGCCACCTTTAGCCACACGCCAAGCAAAAATCTTAACCTTATTTGGAACTGAGTTCCAAATCTTCTCCAGATGCTCCGTTCTCCACTCGCCGAGCAGCTAGATGCCCCCATATTGGAAGGCAGCTGAGACTTCAAGGCGACTTTATAAACACTCCAAACTGAGAAAACACCCGACTTCTCATAGTGCCAAGCAAGAAAATCCTCCGACTGATACTGCGGTAGTTTAATCCTCAGAATTTCAGGGACATCACAAGGTTGACACACCTGATATATCAGTCCAACATCCCATGATCTGTCCTCCTGATTAATCGGTTCAGAAACCCATCGCATCCGGCACCTACCCTTCTGGCCTGCCAATTTGAGAGAAGTCTCCCTCAGTATCCACTGATCACGCCAAATTTTAACCTTCTTTCCATCACCAATGCGCCATATCAACCCCTTTTTAAGAAGTTGCAAACCATATTCCACCGCTTTCCAGGTAGGAGAAGAATCGCTAGGGAAAACTGCATCTATCAAGTCACAGTTAGGGAAGTATTTGGCTTTTAGAATTTGAGCACAAAGATTGTCAGGGAAGGAAATTAGCCACCACGCTTGTCGACTAAGAAGAGCTTGATTGAAGAGCCTTAAATCCCTGAAACCCAGGCCTTTCTTGACAAATTAAGCGTCTTTCTCCCCATTGTCTTCATGCCTGACAACAATTTGTAGCACAATACTATGAGAAAAGCTATAAATCTGTTAAGTGTTTATAAAAAAAGGTTGGCGGACTCATATATAAGCAGATTGGAGAGAGACAAAGAGTGAGAGTGATCATCTGTTAAGACTACCAAATTAATAGCAATGAAATTAAAGAAGAAATTAATTATCACCTCCGAATTGGTGCTTACTATCTTTCTAACACATAATACTTTCTGAAATGAGCAAAGGTAATGCTCTTCCTAAAAACATTATGCTCACTTCCCTCTGTAGCACACAGAGGCATTTCAACATGCACCTTACAGGTGCTTTACTGGAGAGCCTCTTATGTACTAACACAGGGAGCAATTTGTGAGCACATATTAATGGCTTAGCATTGAATACACAAGCAACTAAATATAGCAAGCTATATGCTCAGTTGCTCGGATACAGCGTTTGCAAGAACAGGATGAGTCCATCAGCTGAATCAGTCCAATGGAAAATCACGGAATGGGCCAACAGGCACGCTCTTCTGATGTGGCCATTGCTTTTGCTCGCCGCTGCAACACCCTGTCACATTAGGGTGACCCTCGACAGGCTGAAACTAGAGCAAAACGATAATAAGCTTCTGGATGCACCGAATATTGTTCAAATATAAACTTAATGAGAGAAAAAAATAGAAGGAAGATCAAATGATACCAATGGAGAATAAAGCCATATGGTGTTAATTTGCATATCTGTTATTTGCCAATCATACCTTTGATGAGTGGTGGAGCATGCCCAGTGATGCTGTTAATGGCCAGATGCAGCAGGGCCTCAACTCACTTGTCATCCTTGGGGCATGGATTATCTGGAAGCATAGAAACCATTGTGTGTTTGATGGTGCCACTCCTAACCTGACGAGCACCCTGTTACTTGCCAAGAAAAAAGTGCAGTTCTGGAGTTTGGCTGGGGCTTGAGGACTCTCTTTCCTAAGAGCCCTATCGCCTGGATCTTAGTCTTTTAGAGGTGGTTGTTGGTAGTCTTTTGTCATAGGCGTGAACATAATCTGAGTTCTACTAAGGTGCACGTGTGTACTCAGGATTCTACCCTTTCTTCTTTAGTACAATGATATGACATGCCAAGAAACAGTGTGGTGGGGGGGGGGGATGTGATGAGGTCCATAGAGGATTTCGCTCGACCTTGGTGTTGTCATGGATTGGACTAGGGAAAGATACCAATGGTAGGGATCAACACCATTGAGTCTGCACCAGAGCAGAGCAAGGCCTGCTCAGTGCCAGTGATCGGGAAGCACTACAGAAGAAGGGGGGGGGGTTAGAAATATTGTCGTTTTCATTACAAATTACCGTGGATAACGCAATTAATTTGTTCAGGTGGGAGCAAACATGGTGGCAGAACAAAATCAATTCATACCATACAAAACTATTTTATCTGTTAATAGCAAATCAACTGCAATATCATCATAAAGCAACTTCCCAGCTTTGTGAATAGAAACCTCGAATTAAATTTCTGACAGGTTGCTGGAAGTAAACAACAGTAAACAACATAATGGGGTGTAATGGTCCAACATAACAACACATATTTGAATCTTCAAAATCTTGTGAATGTAGCCATACAAAAGTACAAAACACAATGTCTTATGAAACTCATATTAGCCTAATCAGTTCTGAGAATCTGCTAAAATAAGTGTGACCACAATACACAAGAAATAGTACATATGCATTTCACCAAAATTGAAAAATAAAGGAATAAAGGGAACTGTTGGAGTTGAATGCTTACTTATCAAGAGCATCTTTGAGACAAAATTGGATTTATCTTCAACCTGACATCAACTCTTGCTTCATTAGCAACCTTCAAAATGGCACAAATCGATAAAAATTTCAGAACGATCCGAGGTACTAGAATACAGGAACAGTCAGGTAATTTGGGTTTTATTCTCAATATTTTTCACCTTAATGTTTTTCATGAGCTTCTTAGACAGTCCTGCCATCCTTTGCAATTTGGGTTGTATTCTCAATATTTTTCATGAGCTTCTTCGACAGTCCTGCCATTGTTTCTGATTGTAACAGAAATTCCTTACTACTTTATGATCAGCACCACCTGGTTTAAAAGAAAGTTACAGCTCATGGTTGATTGGGATGCACAAACTATTTTCTGATTGCAACAGGATGGAATTAGAGCTTGAAGACTGATACACAACAAATTAGCCAAACAGCAAAGAATGCAACAATTTTCAACATAATTTCAAGAGGAAGAAATTCTCACAATATAATGCAATCAAAGCCATGCACTCATGAATAAACGAAGCCAAGATCAGTTACAACCTATAAATTATTCAGGTACAATGTACAACTCAGTTTTTATGAAAATTAAGTTACATTCATTTTCCATTGCTATATTCTACTCCATCCTACATCCTGCATACTATTGTTAAAATATGCAGGAGCAAAGAATTTTGCAGAGTGAAACCTGTAGCAACTAAGAAGTACCCTCAATAGGGAGAGGGATGCCACAAAAGACTCGCAGGTAACAATCATTAACCTCTCAGAATCGTATCAATAGAATTAAATACATTAAATTATTTGGTATCAGCATGCTGGTGATATATGTTCCTGAGATAATACTCCATGTGCTTTCTTGAAGAAAAGCACTCAAGCCACAGCTTTGGAGCTGCAGGATGCACATTGTACAGGTTGGAAATGAACCTCTTCTCTGAGTTAGCAAGCACAGTTGCAGGGGCTAATGTTCTTCTAAGAAGACCATTCTCTCGGAGCCACCGAAGCATTGTATACCTAGGCTTTACCCGGTTCTCCAAATCAAAGCACAGAAATGCTGGAAATAACTCGAGGTACTCCACTGAGTATCCTAGCTCCTTAGTCATATAGTTCAACTTGTCATTAAGCATCTTCTTTCCCTGGTTGAGAATCTTTGGGAATACACTCACGATCTGACACAGCATCTTGTACTCCAACCCTCTTTCCAGGAGGCAATCAAATCTCTCTTGCAGAGTATCCCGATTGCTGTGCAGTACGGCTATTATCTTTGTGGCTATCTTATTCTCACCATATCCAATGCTCTTCAAGAATTCCAGCTTGCCGTCAATATGCTGAGCTCTTTTATCAGCCTTCATCTTAATCATCCCTCCCAAGAATGCTCGCTCAATCTCAACGTCATAACTAACATCCTCCAACACAAAATCTGGAAATAAATACCGCAAACTCTCCCCACCATCAGAAATCTTCTCCAGGAACCAATGATCCAGTTCCATTGCCCGCAGCACACCAGGGAGGTTCTGCAGCAGGTTCTTCCCAACAACGTACGGGTGCTTCTCCACCGCTGCATTAACCTCATTCACTGCCAAACCAACTCTCCTCAGGTACTCCGGCACCGAAATGACAACATCACCAAATTCAAGATAAAAAACCATGGGATTGGTAAGCAAGAATCTCCCCACCTCCTCTCCCGCCATCCCCAACCCCTTGAAAAACTTCAACATTTTACCAATCCTCTCCTCCTCAAGCTCAAGAAACACCCTCTGGTTGTTGCAGCCGACAAGGTCCCCAATGCCCCCGACCTCTGAACCAGCATCATAGAACATCCATGTCCTGCGGCAAACCCCCAAGAAAGCATCAATGTCATTGGAGGTCCCCAAACCAGGGCCCAGCCTTCCAAACACCTTGCCAAGATCGTCGACGAGACGGTCACTGCTGGAGAGATCGTTCTCAAGAAGCGAGGGGAAGGCGAGGCAGGCGGCGATGATGGCGGCACGGGGGAGCGGGCCGAGGCAAGCCTCGAGAGAGGCAAGGCGGGAGGTGATGAGGTCGGGCGGGAGGCGGAGGAGGACGGTGGGGAAGAGGAGGCCGAGGCGGGACCAGGGGAAGCCGAAATGCGCGAGCGCGGCGACGGCTGGGAGGAGGGACGGGTGGTCGGCGAGGAACATGAGGTCGGAGCGCGTGGTCGGGGGCAGGCCGATGGACTCGAGGAAGAAGGGGAGCTCGTTGAGCGGGTGGAAGGCGAGGTGGCGGCGGAGGAGGGAGGGGAAAGCGGAGGTGCGGAGGGAGCTGGGCACAGCGGGGAGGCCGGCGAGGAAGGCGTGCAGGGAGCGCGGGGAGCGCGCGGCGATGGTGTCGGCGTGGGAGGAGGGAAGGCAGCGCGTGGCGTGGAGGTACTCGGAGACGGCGGCGCGCGCGGCGGGGACGGCGGCGCGCCGGAGGCGGTAGGGAAGGTTCCATAGCTTCGGGGGTGCCGACGAAGCCGCCGCGGTGGAGAGCAGCCGGCGGAGCGCCGCCGCGCGGAAGAGCGGCATTGCGCCGCTTTTGCTCCACAGAGGAGGTGGGGTGGGGATGGGCGAGCGAGGTTTAGGGTTTTTCAGACTTTGTTTGCTTGGCAGATAATGGTTCGGTTCAGTGAAAAAAAAGAGTGTGAATTACAGTTTGGTTTATCTTTTTTACCGTTCACTTTAGAACACTCATAATTCAATATTTTATTTTGGACTAGCTAAATTTACATTTATTTTACTTTGGAACACCCCAAAGCCACTTTACCACATCAACAATCTCTAGGATATTAGTTATGGCATGCTGCCAAAATCCTCCACCTCTGAGCAGGCCATATCTTTGTCCGAGTATAGGATGGATATTAAAGAGAGTCGAGGTGATCCAAAGTAAAATTAAGGTAATAAAAGATGGTCTAAAGTGCAATTCACTAAAAGAACCTGAAAGAGGGATAATATAATAAGTAACATTTGCAACCGAGATGTTGCAAATTACTTCTACCGACTCAAAAAAGAGTGCATTGTTACACGAGAGAATCCACACTACTGACTTACTCTCTTGGTTTCAAAATAGACAAACTTAGTACGAGATGCATAACAATGCCAAAATGAAAACCATACATTTACCTTCAATTTAAATCCATTCTCACCCTTATCAAAGAAACTCTATTCCCATTCACTCAAATAAACAAACTTAAGGCCTGTTCGGCAAGCTGGGACTGCAGCTGCGACTGTTGCAGCCCCTGCTATCTTGGAGCTTGTCAGACTGTACTAGTTGGTTGCGGCGCAGCTGCAACTCCGGCAGCCGAATAGGCCCTTAGCACGAGATGCAAAACAATGCCAAAATGAAAACCATACGTATACCTTCAATTTAAATCCATTCCCACCCTTCTCAAATAAACTCTATTCCCATTCACTCATTTCCATTAACCTAAAATTGGTACTCTCTCTTTCACAATGTAAGTCATTCTAGTATTTCCTACATTCATATTGATGTTAATAAATCTAGACATATATATCTATCTAAATTCATTAATATCGATATGAATGTGGGAAATGCTAAAATGACTTACATTATGAAACGGAGGAAGTAAGAACAAAGAAAAAACCCTTAACAAAATATCCAATATGTTGATACCAGTTTAAAGAAATGTAGCACTCAGATTAGTTTTAAATCAATTAAAGCATCACTCAGGACAAGTTGCAAAAACCTAGTAAAAATGAAAAAAAAAGGACATTATTTTTTTTAAGATAATGGAAGATTTATTGAACTTGGCAAAATTTTTTAAGGACACTCCTAGCCTCTACACTACGAAAGTGCACACAACCAACACACCTCACACACAAAGAAAATAAAAACCAAACTAAGGTTCAAGAACCTTGCACCTGAAAACTATGTTGCCACCCATGCACCAAGGTGAAAAAAAAACTCATTGGCCACATGCTCCAAATGAATACAAGCCGAAGTGACAAAACTATGTGAACCGGGCTTCTGGAGAATAGCCCATGCTCGAAGCTAATGTGTAACCAAGAAAATAACTAGCAAAGGAGAAGAAACATATTTGCTTTCAAAACCCATAATCATTCCTCGAAAGCCAAGTGACCCAATAAGTTGTTGCTGCCCCTACAAGAAAAAGATGTCTGAGCTATTTGGTTTGTCGCAAAGTCCATTGCCCAAACATATGTGACACAATCCTAGGCGAACAAATGTTCGAAGAAATCTGGATTAGAGACCAAACCGACCGAGCTAGCCGACAACAAGTCTGAGCTCCTCTCCTCTCCTGCCACCGCATTGCACGCCACTCCTCTCCCCCGCCGCTCGTGCACTCCATGGCCGACAATAGCCTTGTTACGGTCGCCGCTGCAGGATCCGGCGGAGAGGGAGGAGGCGGGGAGGCCGGCGAGCGGGTGGGGGAAGAAGGAGGCCAGCGAGCGGGCGGGGGGAGGAAGGAGGCCAGTGAGGAGGCCGTCACAGAGCCTCAGCCGTCACCTTCGCGAGCCACACCTACCGTTGCTGAGTCGCCACAACGCTGGCATGCCAACAACCGTAGCCGACTGACAAGGAAGCTCCAGGAGGGAGGAAGAATGGCCAAGAGGGAGAGGGGAGAAGGAGGCGCCGACGTGCCGCTGTCGAGGGCTTCTTCACCGACTCCGGCAACTTCTTCGGCCGTATCCACGCCCGCCTCGTCGACACCTCCTCCTCTGCTCTCTCTTATCTGTCTCGCTGGTGTCGATTGGTTAAGGAGCCACTCGCAGCTAACATGTGGGACCTATGTAGGGCCCACGCTGACTCAACCGGAGGACATGTGAGCCCCATATTTTTTTAATTTTTAATTTGTATATTTTTCTTCTAGTGCCATCATCACCACGTAGGACGATATTTTTCTTCTAGTGTCATCATCACCACGTAGGACGATGACTAAGTCAAACCAGCCACGTAGACGCCATGTCAACTTAAGCCACCGTTCAAACCGTATTAGACCTTATTTTCACCGGTTTTGACAGTTGAGGGACCAGTGTTTCAGAGATGAAATCGGTGTCAAGTGAAGGGACCTCAAATGAACTTATTCCCAAATAAATCAACACAGTAATTCTGGGCCCATTCTTCCCCTCTCTCGCAGGCCGCAGAACGGCCCAGTAAGTTTACTATTCTTTCGTGCAAATCAAGAAACGGACGCGAAACCTGAGAGAAAACTGCAGTGGGAGACGGAAGCAAATTCCGGCACGCCTCCGCTCCAAGCGGGCTCAGACCCGAACCCGGCAAGCGCGGCGTCGTCGTCGTGTATAAAACGGCGGCCACGCCGATCATTCTTCGTTCCACCTCGCCTCGCATCCACCGTGAGCGGAGCGCCAACTCGCTAGCAAATCAGAAGAGGAGGTTAGAGTTTCGTCGTGAGCGAGCGAGAGTCATGGAGGCGGACAAGAGCGGGGAGGGGGAGAAGGCCGGCGGCAAGACGATCTCCTTCAGGTGCTCGGACGGACAGGCCTTCCACATGCCGGTGGCCGCGGCGATGCTAAGCACGGCCATCCGCAAAATGTTCGACAAGTACCCCAGCATCGACCACGGCGGCGTGATCGAGCTCCCCCACCAAATCTCCTCCGGTATCTTCCCCAAGGTCAAGGAATACTGCACCAAGCACGCCAAGGTCGACGACAAGGGCAACCCCACCGTCTCCACCAACACCGGCGCGGCGGCGGCGGCGTCAAGCAGCAGCACCGACGACGAGGAGGAGGACCTCAAGAACTGGGACAAGGAGTTTGTCAACATGGAGGTGAAGCCCCTCCACGACCTCCTCCTCGTCGCCCACCTACTCGACATCAAAGGCCTCTTCCACATCACCTGCCGCAAGGTCGCCGACATGCTCAAGGGCAAGACCTCCGAGGAGATGCGCCAGATCCTCAACATCCGCAACGACTTCACCGAGGAAGAAGACAAGGCAATCAAGGAGCAGAACCCCTGGGTCTTCCCGGATCCGGAGTAGAAGCTAGCGTCCCCTCCCTCCCCGATCGAGCATCTGCTCTGCTCATCATCGCTTAACCCGTCGCGTGTGGTTGCTCCCCGTAGTTATCTCTGGTAGGTTCGTTCAGAACTTCAGATCGAATCGGCGTTCTTGCCTTTTTACCTTTCCTTTGCATCATGTCCAACTAGAACAGAATCTGGTGTGTGTCGATCGAAATGTTCAACTGCTTAATTGTTTGCATCAACTGAAATGTTTTGCCCCTGCCGCTTTATGCTGATCTGTTCCTGCATGCAGTTGATTAATTAGTCATATTAAATGATTTCTTTGTCTATTTCTGGATTAGTACTAGTATTGATCAATTAGTATGCTGGTTGGCACAATGGCGTGTGGTTCGTTGAGGTTGTCTTAAGAAATTTGGTTTTCTGATTTCTAACGTTTCTCTATAGTTGGCATATTTCTTCTCTGTTTTTTTTGGTTTGAGTGTTCAGATGTGTATATTGGGCTTGGATGCCTGCAACAAGATGTTCTTCTCTCTTGTTCATGCATTTGCGTAGGTAGCAATTCTACACTTCGATTTGTGCATCGTGGCACATCTGTGAAGACACTATTGTGAGATTTATGTGGGCTCACTTGGTTTCAGAGATGAGTGGAGTGATCTGATATTCTGATCAGTATGGAATGTGCTCTGTGACTTTGTGTTGTTATGGTAAACCGGATCCCCTCAGGCCTCAGTGTTCTGCTGCATCTTTCCCTGGTGTGTTTGGTTCCCCTAGATGGTGGTTTCCCGTTGTGTTGTTTGATTTGCATGTGGGTTCTCTGAATTCTGAGGTAGAGTAGTAGATGTATGTGTTGGTTAGATACTAATTTGTGTGTTGTTGTTGCTTTGAAGAGTATGGTTTGTGACATGTCAATGTGCTAGTACGTATATCACTTGCCATCACATGTTGCAGGTTGTGACATCATGGTTGGTGTTTTTTTTCGATTGTCATCCCGATTTTCCAAGTCTGGAAAAATTTCTCTGTTTTTTCTTTTCGTTGTTCATAACACACTGCAAAAGGCAAAAAATAAAATAAAAAAAAGGATAACACTCTTGATTTTCTGAACTGCGCAGAGCATACCAAACACAGCACTTTTTGTCCAACTAAAGGCCTAGTCAGGTCTAGAAAGTGGCCCTCTCTTAGAGAACTGACCAGTCCGGGAAGAAACCTCACTGCTCTGAAACAGAGGAATCAAATAGATCAGGGGAACACCATACTAATGGCTGGTAAATTTGAGAAAGAAAATACCATTTCAAGTTATGAGTAGCTGGCATTTTGTGTAATCCTTGTGGAAGCTTTTGTCCCGAACTCCATCAGTGTACTTGTTTGGTTTTACCAATTTATACTGAGGTGCCAAAAAGACAGAAAAAAGAGATTACTGGATTTTTGTCAAACCAAAACATTTTAAGAAAATTGTTTGGAGTGGACATTTCGTTGTCTGCAACAGACCAACGCACCTGCATAGTTTCAAGTCACTTGTGAGTTATGAAGATGCAATTCCTTAATGAACATTTGCAGTTGCTGGTCAGCAAAACGTGAGATGATACGGTAATATTTTGTTGTACCAAGTGATTTGCATATGAAGACCCAAAAGTAAAAAGACAACTGACGCTTTAATTTTTTCAAATAAATTTCTTTAAATTTGATCAAGCTTATAAAAAAAGTAGCAGTTTTTATAATACAAAACATACTATTAAAATATATTCCATGTTCCATTGTTACAATTGCAATATGCATACTAGAGATTGGAAAGTGCTTTCTATTAGAATTGAAGCAAGATCCGAAATTTCAGATACCCCCAAATATTCCAAAACGAAGGTCTTGTTTAGATCCCACCCTAAAATTTTTTACCCTGTCATATTGAACGTTTGAACACCTGCATGAAGTATTAAATATAGTCTAAAAAAGTAACTAATTGCACATATTGCGACTAATTTGTGAGACGAATCTTTTAAGCCTAATTGCTCTATGATTTGACAATGTGGTGCTACAGTAAACATTTGGTAATGACAGATTAATTAGACTTAATTGCTAATAACGGATTAATTAGGCTTAATAAATTCTTCTCGCAGTTTACTGACGGATTATGTAACTAGTTTTTTTATTAGTGCCCGAACACCCCATGCGACACCCTGTATAATACCCGATGTGACACACCAAAATTTTACAGCCCTGCCCTGGATCTAAACACCCCCGAAGTAGAAGTGTCTGTGTAATTGTTTCGAATTGACAACATGGCCTAGTGCTGCTCTCCCTAAGAAGGAATAGACTACCTGGATAAAAGAAGAAGCAGGAGAGCTCACCGTTGGGCTCTATAAGTCCCGGCACATCCTCAGAGTCCAAAGAAAAAGAACTAGCATGGCAAAAAGTGCTATCTATTCTATTAGAACTGAAGCAAGATCCGAAATTTCAGATACCCCCAAATATTCCAAAACAAAGGCCTTGTTTAGATCACACACTAAAATTTTTCACCTTGTCACATCGAATGTTTGAACACCTGTATAAAGTATTAAATATAGGCTAAAAAAATAACTAATTGCATAGATTGCGACTAATTTGCGAGACGAATCTTTTAAGCCTAATTGCTCCATGATTTGACAATATGGTGCTACAGTAAACATTTGCTAATGACAGATTAATTAGGCTTAATAAATTCGTCTCGCAGTTTACTGACGGATTATGTAATTAGTTTTTTATTAGTGCCCGAACACCCCATGCGACACCCTATATAATACCTGATGTGACGCGCCAAAAATTTACACCCCTATATCTAAACACCCCTGAAGTAGAAGTGTGTCTGTGTAATTGTTCCGAATTGACAACACGGCCTAGTGCTGCTCTCCCTAAGGAGGAATAGACTACATGGATAAAAGAAGAAGAAGCAGGAGAGCTCACCGTTGGGCTCTATAAGTCCCGGCTCATTCATCCTCGAGTCTTTTGGCTGACGTGGCATCCTAGTTGGCAAAAAGAAAATAAAAAAATGTAGAACGCACATGTAAGTGAGCCTAGATATAATAGGGCCCACATGTCAAGGATTTCTTCTTCCTTCAATCCCCCTCTCCCTCCTCTATTCCTACCATCTCTCTCCCCACCTCTCCCCTCTTTCCCCATCTCTCTCTAGGCCGGTGGTCGTCAACGGTAGGAGGAGGGGCAGCGATAGCGCCTTGCCTTGTTGCGGCCAAGGCGATGGCGGGTGGGGGGGGGGGGCACAACTTCACCACTTGCACCTCCATTGCGGCAACCGCAAAAGGACTCTACAGTCACCATGGAAACCGCCTCCCCTTTGTTGCCTCCATCAAGGAATCCACAGGAGGGCTCCCTGGCTGCCAAGGAGAAAGCCTCTCCCCCGCTGCCTCCACTGCAACACAAGGACTCCCTCTTCTCTCAGATCATGGCAACCACAGACCCACTGCCCCCATCTTGGAGCAGTGTGGTCCCTCCCCGAGGAACCCCATGTCATGAAGCCTGAGATCCAGTCCATCATCAAGTTCGTGAAGCCTGAGATCTAGTCCATCATCAAGTATCTGTGCTAGAGCAACCGCTTCTCTCCATCCCACGCTCCCGTTCCGTATCAACTTCTGCACCCTTCCCTCATTCGGTCTCACCTTCTAGCTTTGGCCTCCACCCTCCTCCGCCTGCTCTCGGCCTCCCTCCACCCTCCTCGAGCTTGGCTCGAAAATTGGCACTGCTAGCCTTGCCCTAGGCGTGGTGCTGCCCATCCATGCCACCTCTGTCGGGGAAATCCGCAAGAAGGCTCCATGGCTGCTGAGGAGAAAGCCTCTCCCTCGTCGCCTCCACTGTGGCGCCAAAAGGACTCCCTCTTCCGCTGGGTCGCAATCACCAAGGACCCACTAGGCCCTGTCCTAGAGCAGTGCTTGGATATCCCCACGACGCTCCCTAACCTCCGCCACAACGCCTCCCTCAACACACCCCTACTCGACTCCCATGGACGCTTCGTCTTTGTATTAGCGCTCCCTTATTGGGACACCGTCGCGATGGAGGTTGTCGCCGTCGGCCACCTCCCACAGACAAGCTCGCCAACCACTAGCTCTTTCCCCGCCAGCAAACTCGAAGAGAGGAGATAGATGGGGAGAGTTGGAAATCCACTTACATGTGGGTCCCACATGTTTTTTATTTTCTTTTTGCTAACTAGGATACCACGTTAGCTAAAACCACCTCCAATACTACTAAATGATCTGATTTGAATGGTTTCGGAAAGATGGGGCGTGAAGATTTCTGGTGTTAGGGTTAGGGATATCAATTAAACTCAACGTAAAGATGAGGGATCGCAAGTGGACTTACTGCCCACGTGAAGATTCCTTGTTCCGAATGGACAAGAGTACTTCTCGGCCCATCACCCCCCGCGCATCAGGGCCCATGTAGTCGGACCATTCGTGCAGAACAAAAAACGGACGTGAACGTCACAGATTGAGTGGACTGATCTGATAGTATGCACAGTATGCTCTGTGTGTTGTTTAAACCTGCTCCCCTATGTATTGTGGTGCTTTTGGTTTCACAGATTGAGTGGACTGATCTGATAGTATGCACAGTATGCTCTGTGTGTTGTTTAAACCTGCTCCCCTATGTATTGTGGTGCATCTTTCCCTGGCGTGTTGTTTCCCTAGATGGTTTTCCGGTGTGTTGTTTGATTTGCAAGCATGTGGGATGTGTATTCTATGAATTCTGATGTAGAGTTGGCTATAGAGCCAATATGTGTTTGGCTGTTGCTTTGGGGAGTATGGCTTGTATCTGATGCTTTTCAAGATCCATAGTTCTCAATGTTCTATATCAGATATCGCTGCCCATCACATGGTGCAGGTTGCGATATGTTTGGTGTTTTTTCACTTGTCATTTGGAATTTCCGAGTCTGGAAAATCTGCTCTGTTTCTTTTTTTCCTTTCAGATTCTTCATAGTGCTCTGCAAAATTCTACGCTGTGTTCTTACATTGTTCAGGACACTGCAAAAATAGAAAAAAAGTATGACATGAATAGTGGTAGCACTCTTTCTAGGAGATTTTCTGCACTAAAAGAATTGGCCGCTGCTACTACTCTTTCTAATATGTATTGATGGCACAAATTGTCTGCGGCTACTGTTATTTTGTATATATGGTTGGAAAATATCGCCTATGGTTGAAACAAATATATTCTGGATGTCATCACTTCATATTTGTGTACAAGTCTGCTCATGTGTGATATTTTGGTGGATTGAATTTTCAGGATTTTCAGTGCATGCAGCAGTCGTGGATACTGTTTTACTGTGTACTCTGAAACTACGTGGTTCAGTGTTGGGTAGGGATCATCGAATTTTCCTCAGTTAGAGCATACTAACACAAGTTGAACCAATTTCAGATCGAACTATCTCCAAGCATCAGTATATTGTAGGAATTGTGTGCATCAGTATTTCCTAGAAATAGCAAGTGGTTCAGCATGGCCTGCAAACTAGGTTATGGAAAACAAGGAACAAGTTTATTTTCGGAATCAAGCTTACTTTCAAAAACAAGTTTCAATTTCACCAACAAGAAGCAGAAATCAATGCACACTTTGCGTGTTTATCCATTCAGATACCATACAGTAACAATCAGTATATCACAGTCAAGCTTATATAGAGGCTGGCTTCATTTTCAACATTCAGGTACAGAGCATTCAGATGGCATCATTCATTCTTACATTGCAGTTATACACATCCATGCTACCGAAAGGACTGTTGTTGCCAAACAAATTACCAAGCTATTTCCGGTCAGACTATTTGCAGAAGCTAAGGCTTTAACCATTGCAGAAAGCATATAACAGTTCACAACTGGAGCAAAGAAACCAATATGCGATACGCAGCCAAACTCAGTTCACAACCTGTCTCCACGACTTCTTTGTGCAAGCTAGCATTGGTTTCCCAACAAATGCTTCACCAAGTGCTTTGCTCAGTTAAGAAAAGAGAAAAATTCAGTTGCTGATGTTAGTGTTAGCGGCAGAACATATTTGACTGCTGATGTTATCATGTTATTGTTAACTGCAGAAGCAGCAGTGAGTAGTACTAGTTTTCATTCGAGACGGAAATCCCCTTTGTTTTAAACTCGATCAGTGTTTACTCTTTTCCCCGAGCGAGAAAAAACGGAAAATATGTATTACTAGATTTTGCAAATCAAACATCTTAAGAAATTATTTGAAGTGAACAGTGCAATGTAGACAATTGCGTCGTTTCATGTCGCGTATGAGCATATCATTTCATGTTGAACAAATTTGCAGTTGTGGTCAGCCAAACTTGAGATGATACGGAAAATACACTGTACGAAATACGAAGTGAATGTTAATGAAGGCAAACAAACAAAATGCCACTGTCAAAAGCCAAAACATTAAGATAATTTTCAACCTCAACACTGAAACCACAGAACATGCTTTCAACCATCAGGTTACTCTGTTACCAACTTGTAGTCATAATGTTCGCACCAGGTGGCTGCTTTCCTCCTCTAAATAATCTCTTGGATAGAAAATGCTCCCAAGACTCCGGTGCATTCTTTTCCAAGTAGGGACAAAAAAAAATGAAACCACAGAACATGCTTTCAACCATCAGGTTACTCTGTTACCAACTTGTAGTCATAATGTTCGCACCAGGTGGCTGCTTTCCTCCTCTAAATAATCTCTTGGATAGAAAATGCTCCCAAGACTCCGGTGCATTCTTTTCCAAGTAGGGACAAAAAAAAATGTTGTTACAAAACTTATACAATCTTTTTCAGCCAACATGCAAAAAGAACAGCTGACTTCACAAAAAAAAAACATAGTAGACATTAGATACATCAGCGGGGGGCAGAGAGAGAGAGAGAGAGAGAGAGAGAGAGAGAGAGAGAGAGAGAGAGAGAGAGAGAGAGAGAGATTGAGAAGAGGTTTCTATCATCAGTATAAATTATATGAAACTATTTGTTGAAAATTGCTTGCACTGAACTGAGAGGATCACATCGTACAGCAGCATAAGTTCGAAGTGTTAGGCTCTTCCATCCCAAATAGCGAATGCATGTTTGGCAATGACTGATCCAATTGAGAAAGAAATAGCAAGAGAAGAGAAGACCTACTCTATATGAGAGCTTTGATACCAACTTGCTGGATCTCACGCAACCGCCAAACCGGGTAATATGACTCTTCCTCTGGCACCTCATCACTATCCATCAGTTGCATGGCCCATGCATAAAAGACGGTTTGGATGGTGTCCTACCAGAATTTCAAGCAAAACAAAACGATAAAAGTATTAGTTTATTTGTTACAAAATATGGGCTATGCTCCACCTTTGAATTAAAAGAACCTAATAAGAGCAAAGCATTATTCCCTAACAATGTTTTCTAAAGGCAACCATATGGTTCATTATATATTTTTTAGAAATTCATAGGATCCTACCCAAAAATTCCATGACCTACTTGGTTCTATAGAAATGAAATAAACATTTATGCTATTTAATAGTAGACCGTCTATTTAATGGTAGACTGTACAGGTCCAACCTCCCATTCAGGTTTATAATAAGAAACTACTATTTAACAACTCTAGCTACATGATTAGCTGTGTAATCTTGAAAAAAGATAATTAATGGTGCATGCTCCTGGTGTAAAAGATATTTACCCCTGGAGAATATTGCCATGAGTTTTGCAAGATTAAATTACCAAATGGGCAAAAATTCATTTAGTTAAATTCTATCAAGCAAGGAGCTGGTATGAGAGTGTAATCAATAAGGCCGTTGAGCTAACAACAAAGCTACCATCTATCAGATTAATGCACAAGTCAATAGAAAGAAAAACATTAGTACAACAAAAGCAGCATATAGCCCTATGGATAGCCTACCTGCCCTCCTTCTGTTACTTGTCCTTCCCTATCACGAACACAGTAAATTTGCTGTGTTTGGAACTGAAACACATTTTCAGAAAAGTATATGTAAGCAGAATAAACAACAAAAATGACACATTTAAAATTTAAAATGACACTTAGCCAATTACCCCTACAATAATGATGGGCGTAGATCCCATCATTTTTGTTTCTCTTACATCAGCATCTGAAATATGCAAAATCTGCAAGGCAACAGAAAATCATATCTTTAATGGGGTTATATAGTCCAGCTTTAGTTCCTTTTATGGGGTCATATAGTCCAGCTTACAAGCAACAAATAATAGCTCACATGAATGAATCCAAATCTACAGAATGGGGCTTAAATTGACTAAATACTAAGGAAGGCATATGTTTAATCTGTAGTTTACAAAAAGAAAACTGCAGGACAGGGAATGTTGCCAAATATAGGACAGAAGAAGTGCCTACTTTGTGATCGAAAAATATGCCCTGTGATGCATAAGCATCTCTCTCTCCTTTGCAGCGTTCAATCACTTCCTTGGTGCAATACTTTTTTAAGGTCTTCACATCACCCTGAAAGCATAATGTGTAGTCTTGAGATAATTAGATTGTTTAATATAATATCAGACAATATCTATTAAAAAGCATTAAAGCAAGTTAATTGACCGCTTCAAACTCACGCGGATAGTTTTATATCAGACTCGTTAGTTTTCATAATTCCACTACATCATTAGGACCTTCAACCACACAATCATGCTAGTTCAATAATGAGAATTTATCTTGGTAAGATGGATGCTACCTTGGAATATGCAGTAAGAACAGGTTTAATCATTTCTTGAACATCACCAGCAAAATCAGGCAAAGAAAAGGATCTGTGCACAAAATGGTGACATAGTTCAGATATATCCTAAAATTATCAAACTGTGAGTTGCATATATTCTTGAACATCTTACGGGTCTCTCTGCCGAATTTCCCTGAAAGACACTGCAGTTGCGGTTTCCTCAAAAATAGATTCATTCAAACTGCAAGGAATGAACAAAGACAAATCAACAGAACATCACAAGTTGATATATTCTGAATATGACCAAACAAAGAGAAAATATATTAACTAATTGCAACTGTAAGAAAGAGATTATTGCATTTAGTTTTCATGTATCATCAATGATATTCTGTTTATTTGGAAACCATATGTACTTTTTATACAGAACATAATGTGTTAAGTTTTCATCAATTCATGTATCACCAATGATATTCTGTTTATTTTGGCAACCATATGTATTTTTTTATACAGAACATAATGTGCTAAATCATAAAACAAATAAATAACATAGCATAACTCTGTTTGAAATAAATCAGAATCAACAATAGCACAAATAATGGAGTTCAATTACTCTTGAATTTTCTGAACCACTGGATTGTCACTTGTCTCCCACCGCTCTCGTACATCCTCAGCTACCTGTACAAATGTAAAACATCACTGGTACAGGAAAAACTGCATTCCACCAGTTTCATGAAACAAAATTGTACAGAATTCCGATGGTACCTCTTGTCCTATGTTGACGACTGGTTTGGTATATTCATTCACTCTCTTATAGGCTGGATGACCTCGCATCTTAATAGAGAAAAAAAGGTTTCAGATGGAAGATTAAAGTAGAAAAAAAGGAGATGAATGTTCAGGGGTCCCCTTTAGTACCTTATTCTTAAATGCTTCCCACTTTTCACCCAGTACTGATTTCTTTGTTGGTACAATAACTAACTCAGTTCGAGTACTCTTTTCAACTGTTCCAGCAGAAGCATGCCTGGCATGATTTCTCTTCTTTCTGCTAGAGCTAGAGCTTAGCTCATCTTTGAAAATTTCATATCCCTGCTTAGCATAAGTTGAGACTCTAGTATCCCTCAACTTTGCAAATGCACCAGACAGCACAGGTGAAGCAGATGAAAGTGTTGACCTCAGTTTATTAAACAATGTATAGCCACTTGTGCCAGCTTGTGACTTGTCATCTGAATGTGACGATGTCTCAGAGTACTCATGTTTCGAAGTTTCAGGTGAGCCATCCTTACAACTTGAAGTATCTTCTTTTCCTAGTCTAAAACTCTCCTTTACCTATCAATAGATCCCAACAAAGCAAGGAAACTCCATGTAAAAAACAGTAAGTTACATACTGGACTGATGTGAGATCGCCATAATGATTTATCACTAACCTCTTCTGTAGCGGCAGACATTTTTTCTTTCACATTTGCAGTAACCTACAATAAAGCCAAATTCCTAAGCATGAAATGGAACAAATAAAGTAATAGGACATGTTTTTCTAGACCAAACTATCATACAAGAAGGGCCACTGTAGGTGACATACCTTTTTAGATGTTGCCTCAGCTTCAGTCAAAACATCATCAACGCTCTTGTAAATTGTCTCAGCTGTTTGCTTAGTCCTGCAGAAGTTATTTTATGATATCTTCAAGTAAGCCTATGAGAAAAACTGGAATTTCTTACATAAAGAAGAATATACCGATAAACATCCACATGTACAAGACTCAAAATGGAACAAGTGCATTGCTTTTATTAAATTATACCTTACTTTAAGATCTTCTTTTACCCCACTAAGTTTCTCACTGAATTCCTTCATGGATTTCTGGAACTCAGGATTACTGCAGCCAAAAAACAGGAATAAGTAAGAAGTGCTGATAAGATTAAGGTGATTCCCGAGTAAACAGCTGAAGGCCAAATATCTAATACTCCTTCCATTCCAAAATGTTCGTTTAGAACTCTAGCATTCTTCTCTAAATATAACTCACTACAGCACATTTAGGCACTTATTTCCTCTCGTGTGCTTGTTAATTGCATGATGCCTGCCTCATGAAAAAAGTTAGGTATCTTTTCCAATGTTTTAGTAACAAGGAAAAATGCTCCCATGCCCCCTGAAAATTTTACTCAATCCACTATTTAACCACCATGTTCCACTGACATCTGGGTCCACAGCCAACATGCCAGAGAAATATTAAGGGACAAGAAGGGATATCACAATTTTTTTCACAAACACTTTGTTAATTCCTGTGCAAAAGTCAACATGATCTACAATTGGAATGAGTGGAAATATCAATTGTCATATTAAGGCTAACCTCTTAGCCTCCCCCTTCAATTGTTTTGAGAACTCATTAAAGACACTTAGATTCCGATTATTCAAATGCCTATATCCAGTAACTCCTTGCACCCTGACACTTGCTGCCTGCACACATGATAAGGGAGACGGCAATCAGTAAACTGTATGCATAAATACTCCCTCCATCTACTTTTGATAGTCATATTTCCAAATCTGAAAAATTTATTTTTGATAGGCATATTACAATCCAACAACTTATCATCTTAATGGCTTTCTTGGATTTAATGCGTGACTCTTCATTCTTCCACACAAGATTGGCTACATAGGCATCGAGAAATGTAAATATTAATGAATCACTTGTTTACGAGGAATGAGTAGTAGTATATTTAAATGGATGATAAGTATAATCCCTTATCCTTGGTCTATGTGCCAAGATGAAATATGACTATCAAAAGTAGATGGAGGGAGTATAACGCAAGGAATAAAGTTGAAATAACATAAGCACCACATAGTGAATAATATATCCACAGACATCCCTCAATTCATTTTATTAAAGAAAAGAATAAAGCATCAAAATACTTTTAGAAGTATATTACACTGATTGGAAGCCATTATTTATTCCATGTTTACAGAATAATGTTTATCTACTCAACGGAAATCTTAACCAAGTTCAATAATAAAGGCAAGCTCTTTGCTAATGCAAATGCATAAGCAGCAAGTAATTATTTCTATCTCTCCGAGAGATTTAGTTCAAGACTGCTATGCTGTGACAGCATACCAGTCTCAAAATAAAACTCCGGCATTCTAAGCTACACGCACAAAGTGTTGAAGTGATATGCCATATACAGCTCAACCAAAGCTACATCCTTGTTGTTCGTGCATCATTCCCCGGTGATATTTTGAAGGATTATATATGTTAACTAACATTTCTCCTTCAACAATTTCGATTGAGATCAGTTATAGCTAACTTTCTCTTTGGGATTCTCAGGCGTATTTTTCTTCCAAATAATTCATATGAACATTTAATATCCTTTTATGTGCTCGACATATTCTTCATATGATTACTAAGATACTGAACTAAAGGTGCACAAAAACCGATTGAAAAGTACCCATTTTCCTCAGATCAAAATTCCATTGTCAGCCAACAAACAGAATTTTTCCTCTCATTCCACAGCGTTCTAAATGTTGAATTTTCAACAGATGGACCAGAGCGAATGAAGAAAAAAAATACAGTAACATAGGCAAACCAAGCCACAATTTATAGTATCTCGCTCAGTATACTAAATCAACAATTTTTATTCCAACCTCATTATTCTCCTATGCCCCCAACATCGATGAACAACAAAAACGAACCCGAACAAGTTGGCTGGCGCTCCAATCTTCGCACCGCAATAATAATAGTACAGCCCCCCCGCGCCTCCTCGAAGGCGCTTCGCGGACCCAAAAAAAAAATCAAAGAAACAGCATAATAATAAGAAGAATCACACTCACCAATCGCAGCGCGGCTTCCGACGAGGGCCGCCTCAGAGCCCGGAGCAGCGCCGAGGTCGCCATCGCTGGAGGGGGAACGGAAGGAAGCGGCGGGGGGCTTCGGCGAGGCTCGCAGGGCGGGGGAGGTGGCGGCGCCCGGGCGGGGGGGAGGGGAGGAGAGGCGGGCGGGAGGGGGAGAGGGGAGAGGGGAGAAAGACTAAGGCGGCCCTAGGATTTTTTTACACGAGGGATAGGTTAGCCTGGTGTTTGGATGAAGGCCGAGGCTGGAGGCTGGAGGCTGGCCGGGAGAGCCTGGGATAGGGAACGGAACGGAACGGGCGGCGAACGACTACATGTCTAGGGTTCGCAGCGGATGAAGCCCGGGGGACGGGGGGAGGGTGGTCGGCTCCGGGGCTTTCCTTTCTTTTTTCTCAAGACAAGAGTTTTGCAGGGGACTTCCCCATTGGAAACCGATGCAAGAAACTCTAATTAAAATTAAAGGTTCATAAAATCGAGCTAATCAGACAAGTATCACAGATGGTACTATAATAAACATTTGGTGTTATAAAATGGCACTCTTATCTTCTAGTAAATTTTTTTGTTGGTTCTCTTCCATGTTCCAAAATATTATAACGTCGACCATATGCAAAATTTGTTCAAACTAGATATAGAAAATAATTTCTCATATTATTACAAATCCATTAAAACTAGCATTTGAGTTGAAAACTAAAAAAATCATGATAAACAGTTCAATGGCCCATGCCTATACAGTAGATTTGGGGGAGGGATCCTTGTGGACCAAAGTCGAAGCTCCTCCAAGGAGCACCTGGATCACTCCATGAATATCTCATTGCAAGACAATATAATAAAGAGTAAATTTCATAAAACTACATGTTTTATGGTTCAAGTTACAGAAAAGCACACACATTTTGACACTCGACACTTAAGTACATATATTTTGGTAGTTTAGTTTCACAAAACCACACTATCAATGAATGGATTCACCCGTGAGATGATGTGGTTGTTCCATCTAGGATAAGGATGTGGCATCCTATTAATTTCATGCGATGGCTGATAATAGGATGCCATGTCCTCGTCCTAGGTGAAACAGCCACGTCATCTCGCGGGTGAATCCATTTATCAATAGTGTGGTTTTGTGAAATTACACAACCAAAATATATGTACTTAAGTGCCAACTGTCAAAGTATGTGTGGTTTTCTGCAACTTGGACTACAAAACGTGTAGTTTTATGAAATTTACTCTATAATAAAAGATTATACTTCTTTAATGACTCAAACTATACAACAACTAATCAAAACATCAATATAGCTCCGTCCATCAGAATTTTTTGAGTCCCCTTTTTAACATAGTATCATCTCTAAATTTCATCTGACTCGGGTGTGATTGCGGAAAAAATATGTTGTTTCACCTATCATGAATCTTTGGGCTTGTAACTTCGTATAGAAGCTCAGCCTAAGTAGGGTTCATATTGTGTGTGCCTAACCTAGTGGAGCATGGCTCTAGAAAACCTTAATCGTCCTTCCACTTTCGAAATAGTTAGGTACCCCTTCAACTTCTCTTGGTTTTTGTTATATTAAAATTTAGCCATTACTACTTTATCTTATTATTATGTGTGATAGCTATACTGTTCAATTACTTATCTTCGGAACCCACCTTTCAAGTATCCGATTTATCATGGGCTTTATTCCTATTTGCACTTTTGTTTTTTTTAATCTTGTTTTGTTTTTCTTGTTTAGCGATTTGCTTGCAGGAATAAGGTTGATCTGCACCGACAATATCAACAATACACAAAGAGGTATATCGACCGCTAAGACGCAACACAACACCATCTCGCGCGGTTGTAGTTGAGTTGCTAACTTCTCTCCTAAATCATGATTATCTCAACTCATGGAAAGATCATGCCACTATTGCTCATATCACAAGAGTTTCATCGAGAATTAGAACCAAAAATTATTTTTTATTTAGTTTTAAATTGTGTTGAAAATGTTGTACAAATTTCATTAAACTAAATTTGAAAATATATTTATTTAAAAATTTTAAATTGTAGTCGAATAATTCCATCCCCTTTGTTTTTTTACGAGTGACTTTTTTTCACTTGAGAATAGTGTTCTCTCGCAAGTATGAGAAAGGGGCAACATAGTCATTTTGAAAAAAAAAGATGAACTAATATAATAGGTATAGAAGGGATTAAAATGAGAACTCAAAGGCATGCATAAGGATGAGACAAAATTTAGAGATATAGAAGAAATTGAGACAAAACTCCGGGACACAAAAATTTCTCAGAAGAAAGTTGGTGAGAGTGAGACTAGTCTCCTTTTAGCTTGGGGCACTAGGGTGCAACCTGATGGGTGTCCAGTGCTCCTCTTTTTTTAAAAACGGATTTGCTATACTGCTGTCGACAGTTAACAGGGGGTGAAAACTTTCAAATTTTAAGCCATCTAATATGCTTTGAGATTTGTGCTGGTGAAGGAAAACGGTTTAAAAAATTCAGACGCGTGCAGTAGGGATCGAACCCAACAACCTCCAACTTCGAGTTTTGTTCACCTAACCACTTTCCCTATCGTGCTTTTTTGAGTTACACTCGAGTTACATATTAGTTATATAGTAGTTACATAGTAGGTACAATGTAATAGTAGTTACAATGTAATTACATAGTAGTTATATTTGAAAGTATTTCATCCCAAAAACTGTCGACAGTTGTATAGCTACTCCCTTAAGAAAACATGGGATAAATCTGGCCTCTACATATAATCGGATGTACATAGCCAAGGGTGTCTAGTGATGCCTTCCAACTGGGAGTAATAAACAAATAAATAAAAGGAAACTCAACTCCCAGACATTTTCTTATTTCTATATTTACAGCAGGTTGTCGATTTCTTTATGAATTGCCAGAGGACGCTAGTGATCTAATGGTTTCTTTCGTCATGAGTTAAAAGACCTGGATTTTGTAATGTACTCTACCCAAATATTTTTGGTTAATTGGATTCATGCCATTGTAAATATACCATATTAAAAAATGCCACTACTATTCGCGATATCGGTTAAGTGCCACCATAATTTAGGAAAATTGGAACCATACCACTACATCACGGTATCGGTCAAAAATCTCCGATAGCTCTAACTGTATGTGGGACCTAGCTGTCAGTTCCATCTTCTTCACCTCCCTCTCCTCTCTTCTCTTTCCCCTTCCTCTCTCCAATCTATCTCTTCGGCACTCCTCATCCTCTACCACCGTCGCCGCCGCCATTGTCGATCTCCTCCCACCATGGACGAGAGGGCTCGGGAGCCACCACCGTCGTCATCGACCACCTCCCATCCACGTCGAAAGGGAACGGGAGCCACCGCTATTGCTGTCGTCATCGTCGACCTCCTCCCAGCCATAGTGGGAGGGCTCAGGAGCCACCGCCATCGGCGACCTCCTCACATCCATGGCGGAAGGGTTCGAAAGCCACGGCCGTCGCCGCGGTCGTCATCGACCTCTTCCCATCCATTGCGGGAGGACTCAGGAGCCAGCGTCCTTCCAATTTTTCCTCTTTGTCGGTGGCGGCGTCTTCCCATATCCTCCTCTTCGTCGGTGGCTGTGACAAGGGCTAAAGGCTGCGCCGGCGAGCTCCTTTATCAAGCGGTAGCCCTGGATGGCAAGCCGATCCCCGGAGCGGTGGCCCCAGCTCATCATGGACGAGGTTGGCATCCATATCTGGTGGGGGGGGAGTTAGCAACCTCGATGCCTTCCCACTTCCTCAAATGGTGCTAGAGGCCAGCTGCGCATGTTCAGCACCAAGGATTCCACCTCCAAGCCGTCGAGCGTCGTCAAGCTGAAGAGATGGGCATGGTCTATGCCATTGCTGCCAACCTCCTCCCTTCCACGGCAGGAGCCACCGCTGTCACCGTCAACCTCCTCCAGTCCACAGCAATCCACCACCACCAACTGTGTCATTTGCACCGACCAGCCAAGAGAGAAAGAGGGATGGAGGGAGACAGAGTTGACAGAATATTTGACGGCAATGGCATGGTTCCAATTTCCCTAAATTCCAGTGGCACGTAGCCGATATCGCGAGTAGTAGTGACATTTTTCTATGAGTAAATTGCACCCACGGTACAACAACTTGGCAGGTGGGTGCGATATAGTGCAACAACTTGAGAATTGAGCGTTCGAGTGCATCAACTTGGCTAGGCATATGCTAGGTGAGTTTTTTTTTTCCCGATATCAATAATGCCATTACATAGCAATCCTACGGATATTACCTCAGATATTAAATTTAATCTTTAATAATTGTATTGCTCATACAGTTTACATCCAATTACCTTAAGATTTTTTTTGTTTTCTTTACCTTCTCAAATATCAACCGAAATATAATAATTTTTACATCAAGTTTAATTGACTTCAAGTTATTAATTATTATAATAAAAAATATAAATATGCTTATACAAATCCACACTAGTATATTGTCAAAAATAATTACTTAAATTGAATCTATATAGAAAATGATCCAAATAATTAAGTTGTCGCATACTTTCTTAGTTTATTGTATCAAAATCGCACCTACCTTACAAGTTACAAGTTGTTACTTGTTACATTTATATGATCACTTATAAAGTTCTTATACTAAATTGCACATATTAGTTGTTACTTGTTACATTTATATGATCACTTATAAAATTCTTATACTAAATTGCACATATTTGCCAAGTTGTTGTACTAGAACACTCATTTCTCAAGTTCTTGCACCAAATTGCACCCACCTGCTAAGGTGATGCACCGTGGGTGCAATTTACTCTTTTTCTAATATGGCATATTTGCAATAGCATGTATCCAATTAACCCAATATTTTTTTTGAAGCTGAATTCTACCCAAATATGAGGGGGGAGGGATGAATAGGTCATCCTTCACACAAACGTATGCAAGACAACGTTTAATTTCTCGAGGCACATCTACAGATTAGCTGGCTAGCTTCAGTCCTACATGTCCATATTAATTTACATCAAGAGCTTTTCTGGCAACAATTTTGATTACACGTGTCGATGAAAAATATTACAACAATGACTGCCCTTTGTTCACTTTTGTGAAGTGTGCACAGCTATGAAAAGCTACGATCTGTGAACACTCCTCGGAGTTTGTACATTGCGTGAACTCATGCTTGCAGTTTTCAGGAGCCTGCGAAATTCATCTAGGCTTATTTTTCCATCTCTGTCAATGTCAGCCTCCTCCAGGAGGGGATCAATAGAACCTTTCAGTCCTGTTTGCTGCAGACAATGTAAGAATACATATATGAGAAGCATGAACTGGTTGAATAAATTACGATCTTATGCTATGCACCAATTAAGGATTGGAATCTTATAGGAAATAAATCAATTCTCACGTGAATAGGAAAAGAGTAATGTTTCACAGGTATTTGAAGAGGTGTACCATTCTCAGTTCATCAGATGTGATATAGCCATCTCCGTCAACATCAAATTTATCAAATGCAGCTTGAGACAATGATTTCCACTTCTCAGTATCATGTTCCACTAGCTGATGCACATGTAATGTTGCAGCAACAAACTCTTCGAAATCAACTAATCCATCTGTGTTACTGTCAATCTGCCCAGCAATGAAAATCTTTATGCCATGATAGCAAATACTCCCCTTTGCAAGGAGAAAACTTGATGATGTCCGTTCAATTGCATACATGCAAATTTAATAGAAACAATGGAACTTGAAACATTGCATCTGGAACTATAATTTAAAACTTACTACAAAGCTATATTTGAGGATCATCAGTAAAACAACATCAAGCATTGTCATAAGAGTCATAGAGAGGGAAGTGGATGCATTTGCTTAGTCAAAGAACAAAAAGGCAGAGAGGAATATATTTACTCAGTTTCAATACTGTTATCTATTATTAAACAGTACCATTTAGGCATCTTAACTCATTTGACCTAAAACCCCCCACATCATCTCGAAATAGCTAGAATAAGTATACAACTACTCCAATCTTCTATATCTTCAGCACTAAATAATAAAATATATGAAATCCATATAATTTTTATCATCTCTTACCCTAGCTGCCTTGGAAAAATACTATTACTATATACTAAAACATGGAAGATGACTTCACTCTCAAAAGCTGTCAAGGATGGGACAGTGAAATTTTGAAAATGCAAACTATTTGCATAACGTCATTAAATGTTTTAGAAAGATTTAACACTTCATTGCAATTGCACATAGTTCCAACCAAGTGACCACAAGAAAGCATGTGAATCTGAGACCGATAATAGATAATGTTACTACGGTAAATTATAAGAATGAGAACATACTGCCTCAACAATCTCTAAAACACGTGGACCCTTTAATCTCCATGGAACATCCTTTGCAAGAGCCTGCAAATTAGTGTTGACATCATATAGTGATAGCTAATAAGACAGATGACTTATAATGTGAGGTAAAAAATTGACACTGCCGAAGTTCCGCATGTCATATGTATAAGAGAAGGTACAACATAGAATTTGTTTCTTTGATATGTGTATAAGAGCAAATATATGGTACTTCTTCAAAGAAAAAGAAGCATGTTTCCAATTCTTTGAATACAAGTTAAAAAGAAAATTTCATAATCAAAATGTCTATGCATCAATGACTACCAAAAGAACTTTGATGGTGCAGCTGTGGTCATCAGGATGCTTTCCTTAATGAACAAAAGAGCTTTATCGCACATCTTTCACTAGGGAGAGTAACAAATAGTAGTTATAATCTCTAGCACTTAACAGAAGATATCATTAAATCTACCTGACTTACAAACAATTACCAATTGAAAATTTTAGAATAGTTCAGAATAATTGAGAAAACAGAAACATTTTTTGTGGTGTGATTTCTTGAGAAATGTACAAAAGTAAAATTTTAAGAAAAATCTGATGCTTTGTCATGGTGGACCAGCATGGGACATAACTATGTAAATGGATTTTGTAAACACCCTTTCATTCAATAGTTAGAATGCATGTGTATATGATTTGTTGAGTTAGAACAGCAGTATTTGATTCCATAGTTGCAAAATAGCCCCAAAAGAGTTCCAGCCAACTTATATATAAGCTTGTGCTGAAACCTTAATATTTATTTTTTCAAAGGATTTATAAATATTTTTTCTTATTTTCTGATTTACTGAATAATTGAGTATTATTTGCTTTAATAGGGAGCTTTAGGTTTTTCCATGTATTAATGTTTCTTTACAAGTTTGTACCCCCATCTCCAAAATCCTGCATCAGCCACTGGGGTTTGTACAATTTAACAATGGCAATCCCTAAACAGTTTTGCCATTATATACTTCTTACATTATCCTATGGTTTTCCCTATTTTCATTTTTCTACATTTCCAGTATTTGTTTCCAAACGGACAGAATGTTGGCATGAGGGAAGTGGCAGAATGGAAGAGAGCTTGGTCAGAACAGTGGCCCAAAAATAAGATGAAGAGAAATTACAAAGAAATGTATTCCATGGATTATGCTAAATATTAGTAAAAAAAAACAAGCCAATAGTGTAGCGAGGAATTCCAACAAGGATGTACCTGCTTCAGTTCTTCCAGACTAATTGTTCCATTCTTGTCAACATCAATGGCATTGAACTGGTCACGAAGATCAGACAACTCTTCTGCATTTAGTGTAGAAGCTAACGCCTACAAGAGATGTAAACATTTAAAATTGACTCCGAAATCATCCTGAGTCATGGATAAGATTCCCTTAAGTTATGGTATGATAACTTACCCGTAAAGCAAATTGCTTAAACCGACTGTATTTTACAAACTGACGCATATTATGTAATACAGATATATCTAGAGGTATATCAGATGCCTGTCCTCCTTCTCTCACCCATTCATGTGCTGAAGAAAATAATATGTAAATTTTCATGTTAGTAGAGCACTGTGATAATAAGATTGTTTATTTTTATACCAACAGTATGCCATCTGTGATAACTGATAAATAACCAACTGAACAGCAAATGTTAGTTGCTATGATGTAATGAAAACATGAATTAGTTGGTATTGGTTATGTATCAATATTAGATTGTACCAAGCCTTAGTAACTGAACCAACCATGTCTAACCATGAAAAAACAACATAAGATGTTTCTATCAAATTCAAGGTATAAGCTGTTATTTTACGCATGGTAATCAGAAAGTGCTACCATATACATAGCAATAACTTAACAATCAAATCGATAAAAGGCAATGGAGGTCTGAATTTCATGAGTAGCAAGCATAGCCACATGGCTTCAAATAACAAGCCAAAGCTGAACCCCCAGCAGAAGTTAAACAAATAAGTATTAAGCTAACAGGGAGTATGCACTGCAAACCCATTAATGATCGCTGAGTAAGCCTTTGAGGTTGGACCCTCATACATAAGTTTCCAACCTGAAGGGGCCCTTCATAAATCCCCTTAGATATATCCCATCTAAGAGTCACCCAGTAATCAAGTTGTGAATTTGCATGACTGCACTCAGACTTAGCAACAGTTTGCCACTAGAATCCCATTATTAAATAACCAGATTTGCAAACTTGCATTCAAGATGTCCCAAAATGATATAGAGTTTCCCTAATCAGATTATCATACTTAAATTTAAGACATCCAAAAATGATATAAAGTTACATACATAATGCCTGAGCAGCAGTTAATCTTGCACGGGGATCCTTAACAAGCAACTTTTGTACAAAGTCTTTAGCACAAGGAGTGATATTTGGCCAGGGCTTGCGACGAAAATCTGGCTTGTTTTTCAACACCTGCACCAAAAAGAATATGCCACTTTGTTAGCATTGTGGAAAGAGAAGCGGGGAACAGAGGATGGACACGATTTGAGACAAGGTCAGTAATTCCAACATGATACCCAAAGAGAAACATAAATATAAGCAGCCACCAGGGTAGCGGCTACCCAAGATATACATATTTTTCTTTATGCACAGGCACAGCTAATGTTCCATAGACTGCAGGCTTAGCTCCATATAGGTTTAGGTAAGGAGAGAGGGTGAATCATGTAGATTGACTCCACATAGATCCTCCTATGCTAGCATTTGTACACATTACGATACTTGTTCTAAGATAGTTCACTCGGTTCATCCATGGATGCGTGCTTTTCTGGATAGCATATAAACTTGTTGACGCTTGTGGTAAGCTATTTCCCAAGTATATAATCAGTGTAAATCTACACGCCTGATATTGTGCCAATGGCAAACTCGTATGCTATGAAGTGCACTGCATAGCAAGGTATTTTCATCTTTTCAACAAGTTGGATCATATTTTTCAGATTTGTCATGACACAGATCACTAGATCAGATATACTTGAGCATAAATCCTGAGAAGATAAAGAGTTAGTCTTTTTTATCTAAAAAAGGGGAAAGTCTATCTTTGGTCTGTCAACTCTTCATGTAGGTCAATTTTTGTCTCTCAAGTCAACTCTAAGACAACTTGTCACTCAACAATTGAAATCATGCAAATAATGTCCCTATGATTGTTTCTCAAGTGGTTTTAAGTGAGGTGGCTTTCCACATCATTCTGTTTTGCCATGTCATTTGCCACATCATCTAGACCCATGTGCTGATCCTTCCTCTTCCTTTTTGGACAAGATGAAGAGCCACTTAACTGAAACATACCAGCCTAAGATTCTGAATTTCCTTAAAACAGACCAGAAGTATTTTAAGAATAACATGCGCACTTCCTTGGAAGTATGGACTACTAAAAGTTAGAACGATATCAAAGTAATACGGATAATACGGCAACATCGAAGGAAAAAAAGAAGAAAATATAGTGATTGTAAGGCAAGAAAATAGTTTTAATCAATGAAACACATGTAATAAAATGGTTGTAAGACAAAGATAGTTTAGGCAAAATGACCTCTTTAAATATTCCATCTTCAGTTTTGTCCCAGAAAGGTCGTCTTCCACACAGTAGAATATAGGTTATTACGCCAATACTCCAAACGTCAGATTCTGGGCCTGACTTACGCTTAAGCACTTCTGGTGCTACATAGTAGGCACTTCCAACAATGTCACGAAAGTGTTTCCCTGTGAGTGCGGCAACTTAATTTCAATTACACTGAGAATAATTTCTTTATTGAGAAAATTCTTTATATTTGCCCTCAAAAGTTAGTCGTATCCTTCATTTGCCCATGCGGAACTGCTCAACCCCTCATGCCCATCTTTCTCAACTTTGTTTCTATATTTGCCCCTCGTATTACTTCTCCATTAGTTTGCTACTTGAATTATGTGTGAAGTACTTTTTTACCTTCTAATGCCTTCTCAACTGGAAGCAAGGACAATTATCTCTTCTTTTTTAGTCTTCCTATTTCTAATGTTGTCATTAATAAAAAAAACCAATATCTTTTTAACATGTAGAGAGTATAACTTTAGCATGTTAGTTTTTTTATAAATGCATAGTAAAATAGCTGTTTTTCTTTTTAATTGGCTCGGGCCTAAATACCTTTTTCTATGTCTGCTACTAAAATTTGTAAATAGTTTTGTCATTTTCTATGCCTGCAGACTTGGTTCTCTAAAAAGAATGTATGTTCTAATAAAAGATGGCGATCAAGTTTTACTACTACTTATAATTATCAACATTTTTTTATGCACATGGATCGGTGAATGCCCTTTTTACATTGACAAGGAATTAGAAGGGATTAACATAGAAAATATAATAAGCCATACCTCTAATAGAATAGGAATTACTAGAAGGGTAAAAAGGTTTAGTTTCGGGAGAGCAAATAAGGGATATGGCTAACTTACAAGGCCAAATAGAGATTTTTCTCTTTTATATTTCATATGGAATGGAAGAAAGTTAAACAAGAAAACAATAGAACAAGTAGTTACAACATACACACAAACCTGGTCTTATAAAATCTGAAAGACCAAAATCTGTAGCCTTGAGGGATGAGTCCTCTTTGGTTGATTTGAAGAGGAAGTTCTGTAAATACACATATCAAATGATCAATTACTCTTATAAGAAGACTTAGTCTTGTACTTTTAGAGCATACCTCAGGCTTCATGTCCCGATGAACCAAACCATGCAAATGGCACTCAGCAGCAACCTTGAGCATTTGCCGCACAACTACTGCAGCATCTTTCTCGCTATAACGGCTATCTTTCCTGTAAGAGCAGAACAAATGTGATATCAGTGAATTTGCTTTCTACATACATCAAATATTCAAACGAACTTAATAATAAATAAAAATCTTTGAACATTCAGTCGAAAAAAAATCTTTGAACAATTCCTGACAGTTGATGGCTAGTGGATGTCTCACATAAACTTATGTCAATCCCTGTAATATTTTGGTTTTATGGTAATAGGAAAACAATATATGACTATATGCCATACATCCATATTAAATTCCAAGCTCTTTGTGGCACGAAGCACTAATTGAAATGCTCTCCGGTTCAACATCCCTATATTTAGAATAAGTAATCCCAACACAACCAAAAAAGCATGCCACAGTTCTGTGGTAAAGTAAAAATTTTTGACAAACTTCAAAAATTGACTTACTTGGCTAGTATCCGGTCAAGTAACTCCCCGCCTTCACATAATCTGTCAAATACATGTAACAGGGTCAGATCTTCATTAGCTTGCACAGTTCCTTGATACAAAGAGAACAAAGATGAGAAACATGAAAGTGTTTGCCAACTATTTATCCTGAACTTGATATTTACCCGGTACAATTTCTAGATTTTTACGAGGGTATTAATATTATGCCAGTTTGCATGTGGTGTTTCTTTTCCATGTAATTAGATCCTGAATTGCCAAAGTCCTGTTTGGAGGGGCACAAACTAAAATACTAGACCTCAGTAAGATCAATTACTTAAAATATGGGTGGTTTCTAAAAAAAAGCATAAACACACATATGAACCTTCCTTCAACTTGGCTAAGGCCATGAAAAGTTCACTTAGACATTTTATGGTTATACTTAGATATACTTCTACTGATTTCATAAACATTTGAGAGTTTTTCCATGACTTACTCCATAACAATATACACATAATTATCATCTTCAAATGCATTGTAAAAATGTACAACATTTTCATGGCCTTGTAAGGCCTTCAGTATTTTAACTTCTCGCTTTACGTCTTCAACGGCAACAGGAAGAACCATCTGCAACGAAAACATCCCATTTGAGAAGTTAGAGCAGTATCATTTCTTTTCAAAATAGAGGCTAGTTCTCTACTTCTGTTGATGCTTCAATTCAGCATAGCACATGCTGACAAGGCTTTACAATAATGCAGAGTCCAGAAAATCAGTGCGTCCTATTTTCTGAATACACATATTACATTTCTCTGCTCATGAATTTATGACCTTCATGTACAGGAGAAGTAGGGTCATATACGAATGTGTTACGTTTCAGTACATATCAGTGTCTTTCAGGAATTGCCTTGCCGTATCTGTTAGGAGGCATTTGTGCAGTCTTTATACTGGTTTTGGAACTAAACAAATTTGTATACGCCACATGTGTCCATTACGTATGTGTATAGTCCATTATCCACTTGTTGCCTCCATCCTGACTGGTTCCTATTTTGCTCAAGAATGAAGATTTAAACATCCCAAAATAGTTTGGTATTTTGGTTTGAGGATTGAGATGTCCATTGACCACTTGATCCAAAATAGTTTCCTTGGTTTGAGGAATGGACCTCATCCCTGAAAAGTACATATACTGAGTGAAGAAATGAGGAATGGAGTCATCCCACCAGATTCGATGGTTTAGATGGATCACCTCCATGGCAATCTGCAAGTTGCGCTAGTACTAACATGCAGCAGCATTAGGTAGTGGCAGTGCATTTTTGATTTGTACCACTACCACTACAGTATCGCCCCGGATTCACATTTCACATTTCCTCGGCAACCCAACCCCACGTGCAAAACGCGACGCCCCCCGCAAAGGTGGTCGTCGTCCAGGCTAGCCCAACTGGCCGATCGAATCGAGCAACACATGGGCACATGGCCCCCACGCGTCAGCCGCACACCACCACGCTCGTTTGGGCCCATACCTTGTTCTTGTCGATGCGCTTGACGGCGACGCGCTCGCTGGAGCGGCGGTCGACGGCGGCGAAGGTGTAGCCGAACTGGCCGTGGCCCAGCAGCTTCCCGAGCGCGTACCGCGCCTCGAAGTCCTTGTCGTACCCGAAGTCCGTCCGCTTCCCGCACGCCACGATCCCCTTCCTCCCCGCGTTATCCTTGTTCCCCGCGCCGTTACCGCCGCCGGGTGTGCCGGCGTCCCGGCGGGCGCTGGAGGAGGAGCAGAGTCCCATCGTCGTCGGCTGCGGCGGAGGCGGCGGATCCAACTATTACCATCAATGTGGCGGCGGCGCGAGGCTGCCGGAATCGGGAGCAGCGAAGCGAAGGGGGAGGGGTGTTGGGAATTGGGGTCAAAGCAGAGCAGAGAGAGAGAGAGGAGAGGAGTGAGGAGACCTCACCGATGTCGTCGTCGCCTTCTTCCTTTTTAATAATATAAGGGTAATAAGAAATGGTGGGACCAAAGGGGCGTGAATCCTTTACCGCGCTTGGCGGTCTTATGCTGATGACACGTGGGGGCCAGTGGATGTGGGTCCTACGAGACGGTGGGGGAGTGGGTGGGGCTGACGGTGGGGTAGCTTTGGATGTGGGGGTGACGACGTGACGTGGTGGTGGTGGGAAATGGGCAGGAAAAGGCACAGGACGCGAACTGGTCCGGCGGCCACACGCGGCCACGCGGGGGTAGTAGTTTTCTAACTCTCCGTAAAAAAAAAAAAAAGACAAACCTAATTTCCGTACCCAACGTTTAACCATTCATCTTATTTAAAAAAATTATAAAAAAAAATTAAAAATATAAGTCACGCATAAAGTATTAATCATATTTTATCATCTAACAATAATAAAAATACTAATTATAAAAAAATTTCATATAAAACGGACAGTCAAACGTTGGCACGGAAACCCAGAGTTTGCCTTTTTTTTTGGAACGGAAGGAGTAGTTGAGTAATATATTTTGCAGATATACCCTCCAATGTTGCAATTTTAAGGGAAATGAGCCTCCTGTGGTATTCTTATTTTTTTTCATAAAAAGACAATTGACCATGCAATTGTAATGATAAGCTCTGTACCACCTGATAAGCTTTGAGCTTCCTCGATATGCTCATAGCTACGATTAATTCAATATTTCGGTAAGTTGATAATAACTACAATTTGAGAGAAAAGTTAATGACCCGACTACAACTGTACGAGGAGTTGTTGTGTTGCGCCTTAGCGATCGCCACATCTCTCCGTGGATTGTTGATCTTGCGGGTGTAGATCAACCTTATTTATACAAGCAAATCGAAAAAACAAGTAAAAAATAAAAATAATCTGATATTGCAAATAGGAATTAAATATACATGATAAGTTGGGTCTCGTAGCGAGAAAACAATGATCTAACCGATCACGGCTTTATCTAGAAAAGTAGCAATAGCTAGACTTTAATTAAAAAAACTCAAAAACCCTGAAGGGGTACATAGCTATTTAAGTTGATGGGAGGATGACCAAGGAGTCCCTAGGGACGTGCTACACTAGCTTGGGATGCATCCCACTTGGGATCCACTTAGACCGGGGTCACAAACAAAGTTATAAGTCCAGAGACCTATGACGGGTGGCACAACTCTTTATTTCTTCAACTGCAAATGATCGAGGTGGACTTTGAAGATGAGCTGGATCCGTTGGAAAGAGAACTCCAAGAGCTTTTCATCAAGTACTCATGGATCCAGCACAGAGCTCGTATGGACATTTGGTGGCCGTTTGAAGTCAATACTACTGCAGGTGACCGAATCTAATTTCGGAACATGAACGGCGGTTTGATCTCTTTGACCTTTAATATGAACACTGCTAGTATTCATATTCGTAGTAATTATCATCACATCATGTAAACTTTTGGATTTAGCATGGTATGGTGAGTAATATGAAATATTCATAACATGTTCACAAATCAATTGTCTCTTTGTTTAGTCGGAATAGTAATATATAATTTCTTTTCATGTGCTTAAAATCCAACCTTCCAAGGGGACAGTACGGATTCACCATGTTTAATTGCATGTGTGTTTAACTGAAAGTTGTGATCGACGTATTTTGCATATGTTATTTTTCCGGTGTCACTTTGTTTGCTGTTAATTTTCATTTTCCATGTTTGGTTGATCTTGTTATTGGTATTGCTACTAGGCTAAGGTCCTGATTGGGGGAGTTTATGCTTCTAAGAAGCAACTATTTATTAGTTAGCTTTTGAGAATCACCTAGCATCTCGATTCTAGTTTATTTTCTACATTTTATAACTATAGTTCTCAGAATCAGAATAAAAAGGTAGACTCTTTGGAGGAGTTTTTGATTTTGAAAGCAGCTATGGCGTCGTGTGCCCCTAATTAATTACAAGCTATATATATGGTCTTACCCTTACCAACTAAATTACCTTGCATTTTTGTAATAGCACTCCCCAAATGTATCACTAACCATTGTCATATGCATTTTTGTAATAGCACTCCCCTATCAATAGCCATTGTCATGTGCACACCGACTCTATGTAAAATTCATTATTAGGTGTGGTTTACCATGTAAATCACGGCATAAAAAGTTATTTGGGGAATTTAAAAAATAACACTTATATAAATATATAACTAAGACGATACTACATAAAAATGACAAAACAGTGAAGAAGGAGATAGAAAAAAAAAGGAATTGTGTTTTTTCTTCGTTGTGTTTTAATTTTCTACCATTGTCCTAGAATTTTATATATATGATTATTTTTAAGTTTCTACTATATATTTTCCTTACCAACTTAACATTTTTCTACATATGCAGGAGAGATGGGAAACCAAGATTCTCTTTTAATAAATGGGCAAGATCGAGGGGGCTTATTTCGCGACCGATCATATGCAGTGGAAGCTAGCGAACACCTTATCCACATCTTATGCCTTCCACCCACCATAGATTGATTCATCGAGTATTCCTCCACATCTCACGCCTCAACCACGCAATGTCGCCTCTGCCCCTCACGTCGTCTCTTCTCCTTGATGCATCAACGAGCAACAGTGCGCACCATCATCCTCACTAACGCGCCGAGCCCTCCACTCCCCCTCCCCTATTTCTTCTCTTCCCTAGCAAGGCAGATGGTGTATGCATGGCAAAGGCCGTCAGCGCCGGTGCAGCGAATGGCGAAGTGGGTGCCTTGTTGCGGTTGCGAGCGTTGGTGACGATGGGGTTGGAGGTGGGCTATTGCCCTCGGGTGAGCTGCACGGTTCCATGCTAAGTTGAATGTTGATGATTTGGAGTAGGATTGTGGAAAGTTTCCAATTTAGAGTGAATAGTTCCTGAGATATTGAGAATGCTTGATTTTGAATATGAAGTTTTTTGAGTTTTTTAATTGGTTTGAAATCTCATGTCTATAAAAGTTTATCTGTACCCAAAAGTTTATGGCTTCATCTCTACAAAAATATGTATGTAAAAGTTTCTATAAAAAAAATCAAAAGAGAGTTTATGCAATGGAAGTTTCTAGAGAGAGTTGATGCAACAAAAGTTTCTCAGGAGAAAAGTTTATGCAATAAAAGTTTCTATACAAAAAGTTTTGCAATGAAAGTTTATTCTTGTTATGGACGTTCTCAACTCTCTTATGGACCGGGCAGCTCGGGAGGGTTGGATTCAGACTCTTGATGTTCGGCAAATGTAGCAAAGGTGTTCTTTTTATGCCGATGATGTTATTATGTTTTCAAGACCAACGGTGAATGATCTCTCCATTATCAAGAATGTTTTGGATATTTTTGTCCATGCATTGGGCCTAATGACCAACATGCAAAAGAGCTCAATAACTCCAATTAGGTGCAATGAAGAAGAGTTGGAAGTGATCGTGAATGTGTTACCGTGTGAGATCAAGGATTTTCCTTGTTCCTATTTGGGTCTTCCTTTAAATGTTAAGAAACTGTCTAAGACCGACTTGCATGCTTTGGTTGACAAGGTAGCGGATGATCTCCCCATGTGGAAAGCTTCCCTCATGAATCGGATCGGTCGTCTCATCTCGGTGCGGGTTGTTCTATTCGCCATTCCTATATATCTTATGATTGCTATGGATCTACCAAAGTGGGTTGCAAAAGCAATTGACAAAAGAAGGAGGGGGTTTCTTTGGTCAGGACAAGAAAACACCAATGGTGGTAATTGCTTAATGGCCTAGGATAGAGTGCGCCGACCTCTAGCTTATGGTGGCCTTAGTATTCTTAATTTGGAATATATGAGTTGGGCCCTTTGGATTGGTTGGTTATGGCTCCAAAAGATAGACAATAGTCGTGTTTGGCAAGGATTGCTCGTCCAAGTTCCCCGTGTTTCTCATGACCTTTTTAGTTCGGCGGTGTTGTCGCAAATTGGGAATGGGCAATCTAATTTGTTTTGGGTGGACAGATGGGTGCATGGAAGAATTATTTTGGAAATGGCCCCTAACTTATGTGAATTGAAAAGGATAATCAAGCATTGTACAGTGGCTCAAGCATTGGACAACTAAAAGTGGATCATGGACATTAGAGGACCTTTGACGGTGCAGGTGCTTGCAGAATACATCAGGATTTGGGAAGCAGTCCATGAGGGTGGTGCTGCAAGAAGGAATTCTAGACCAGCACTATTGGAAGTTCTCAAAGTCAGGAGTTTACACTTCCAAATCCGCATATGAGACCTTCTTCATGGGGGCAGTCAAGTTTGCTCCTTGGAGAAGGATTTGGAAGAGTTGGGCACATCTTAAATGCAAGTTTCTTCGGTGGCTGGCAATACACAACTGTTGTTGGACGGCTGATCATCTTGCCAAGCGTTACTTGCCTCATCCAGCCGCTTGCCCCTTTGTGATCAAGCCAAGGAGACAATGCAACACATTTTGGTTTCTTGTGTTTTCAGCAGACAAGGTTTGTCACTAGTTCTCCAAAGGCTTGGCTATTTCTCCACTCTACCGAAATCATGACACGCGCAAGTTTTCGTGTTGGTGGTCAAAGGCAGTAAAGGGTTGCAAAAGAACGAGAAAAAGGGCTTAACTCTCTTATTATCTTAGTCGCGTGGGAAATCTGGAAACACTAAAATGCTTATGTTTTCAATGGTGTTACTCCTAGCGTGACAAGTGTGGTTCTATCCATTAGTAATGAGGGCACACTATAGTGTATGGCAGGAGCTTCTAGGTTCCAAGAGTTGTTGGCCAACACAATAGCTCTTGTGCCCTAGGAGGAGGGGAGGTGTGTTTATGGGTGTGTGTGTGTGTGTTTTCCAGTGGGTGTGTTGGCGTGTTTTTGTTTTCGTAAGTCCGACCTTTTATTCTTTGCTTATTGAAATGATACAATGATTTCACGCGTGTTCGAAAAAAGTTTATACATACAAAGTTTATTATGCAATAAAATTTGGTGATAAATCGTATTGTTTAGAATTAAATCGAAATGCCCCTGACCACGTTTCCTAAAAACAAAAAAACAAACGATGCGTGACGAATCAGGGATTTTTGAAAAAAAAAACACCTACGCCAAAAAGGGAAACAGGAACCGATCACGTGGGCCTAATTCCAGTGACCGATCATCAGGTAGCATTTTCAGAGTTAACTAGAAAAAATGCCCGTACGTTGCAACGGGTAAACTGAAATTATAATAAATATAAAAATATTAGACGATTACGGTTTAGTTTTTCATGATATGAGCCTTCAAAAAAATATATTCCTTAGAAATAAAAAAGTGCTAAAAAAAGAAAAAAAAAGAAAAGGTCCATTGGACCCTATCGGCCTGCTATTGCGCTCCTTGCCCATGAAGCATGCGTGGCCCAGCAGTGCGGTGGCCCGAGATGGAGGTCGGCCTGACGTGGGATCGATCTGTGCCATTCATTTTGATGGACGGGTCGGATCGATTCTATATCCATCAAACCGTCAGTGCTAAAAACACTAACCCTAATCACACTTTCCCATCCCATTCCACCATCGTGAGAACCTCCTCCCCCTTCCCTCTCTCTGCCGCTCCCGCTCCCCCTTCCCTTCCCCTCACCGGCGTCGCCAGTCCCTCTCCTCCTCTCCCTCCTGTCACGCTGGCGCGGCGTGAAGACGACGAGGGCACGACTCTATTCACGAGCGGATAAGGAGAGAGGGGGGGCGGAGTGTGGTGGCTTCCCGTGGGTAGATCCAGCGGAACCGACGGCACCGGTCGCTTCCTATGGCTTGATCCGGTGGTGGCGGCGCCTTTCTGCGGTGGATCCGATGGCGCCGACGGCTCCCCGCGGCGGATCCGGCGGCTATCCGTGTGTAGATCTGGTTCGCGGACCGATCCGCCGGCGATGGTGGCTTCCCACGTCGGCTACGACGGCGGCGGCATATCCGGCGGCTACCCGCGTGTAGATCCGGTGGCGTAGTACCTTGCCCGTATGCGGAGCTGATCCTCTCCATCAAATCTAAATCTTTTTTGACCGGTTGAGGGGTTTTATCCACTCGGTCTAGTCTTTCTGTTTTTTCCAAAATCGGAACGGATCCATAAAATTTGGGATTGGGATAAAAATGGCCAGCCGAGCATCATCAACCAATGAGATTAAATCCAGTGAATTAAAAGAGGAAATCGTGAAAAAAAAATAATAAGAGTGGAGTGGGGTATCGATTTTTACAATCAATGGGAGGAGAAAACACAAGAGGAAGTAGCTTGAAGTACAAGTGCGCAACAGATTGGATAAGATAAAAACCGGATGAAAATACCAACAAAAAAAACACGAAAAAAAACGAATCGGAAAAAAAGGGAAAAACAGCGGGAAAAAACAGAGCGAGAAGCCACGGGAAAAACTGAATTGGGCAAAAAAGAGACGGACAAAAAAAACACGAAAATGGAAAAAAAAAGAAAAATAGCCAAAAAAATGAAGCAAAAAATTACGGGAAAAACTGAATCGGAAAAAAAGGACGGACGAAAATTTTTTTTTACGGAAACCTTGTGTATTTTTTAGTTAGGTAAAAACCAGATGAAAAAACAAAAAAAACACGAAAAAAACGAATCGGAAAAAAAAAAAGAAAACAGCGGGAAAAAACGGAGCGAGAAGCCACGAGAAAAAAATGAATTGGGCAAATAAAAAAGAGAGACGGACAAAACAACACGAAAACGGAAAAAAAAGAAAAACAGCGAAAAATTACGGGTAAAACTGAGTCAGAAAAAAGGACGGACGAAAATTTTTTTTACAGAAACCTTGCATATTTTTTAATTAGGTATAGATATAGACGTGAGGAGGGCCTAAAGCCACCTAACATATAGAAATTCATGTTATGCCAACTTATCGTGCTAACCGACGGATATGGATTTCTTAACTATTTATTTTATAAAATTATACCCATAACTATTCAAAATAACGTTTATCAAAATTCAAAATTCAAATTCTCCCTACTTTTAAAAGATTACCTAACAGAAAATTATTTTTCAAGACCAGACATGATATAACATAGAAATTGCTCCTTTTGGAAAACTTAACATGTAGCACATAAATTTGCTCTATTTAGAAAATTATCATTCTCACATGTCAAACATAATTATTCATGTTGTTTTATAGCAAAGTTCAACTACAAGATTCGAAACAATACTTGTTTGTGTTTTTATTGGAGGGAGCAAAACAAAGATGCATAGGGAGAAAATGTTTGCTTGCACAGAGCAATTTTCTCTTTCTTCAATTGGAACAATAAAAAATGTTTTTAGTACACACGTGCTTAACAAGGGTGCCAAATGGAATCATAGAAAAACTAATTGCAGATTTCACTATTTTTTAACCTTTTCGTATTCAACAACGTGCTGCAAAAGAATGCAAAGTACTCTATATGAGCCACATTAGGTGTTAACCACTGAAAAAAAAAACTAAATATAAAGGGATGTTACATGGGGAATCATGAAGCTCGTGCTTCGCTACAAAAATCCCATTATTGCTTGCACTTTTGATAAAATTAAGATTGGCTATTTATTTGCCATAAAAAAAAGCAAGCAAAGTTAATCGGTGGCGAATAAAAATGTATCAACTCAATATTTTCCGATCAAACCTAGATGTGCATATGATTAGAATAAACACATTATTGCTCTCTCTTCATCTTAATTTGCAGCTACATTAACACATAATCATAAAAATCTTTGAACAAATTAGTATAGACTGCTTAGAGTCGCTAACCACAAGAATTAAGCAGTGAAGGGAACTATTATCTCCGTCCCAAAATATAACTACTTTTAGCTATAAATCTGAACACCCACACCCAGTTATCAAACCCAGTTATCAAGATTCATAACTAAAAAATACTTAAATATAACAACTTTTAGCTATAAATCTAAACACCTAGTTGTCTAAATTCATAGCTAAAAATACTTATATTTTGAGATAGATGGAGTAGCTTATTTGGATCCCTACTGCCCATCACTTGTTAAGAATAACAAATGCATCGACCAAACAAACAGACAATGCACGACCTCTTTACAACGTACGGGAAAATGATGATTTGGAGAACACAGCACATGTTTTATTAACAACATTCTTTTCTTTATTTATGCTAGTATAAACCAGCTTTAACGTCAGATATCAACGAGATGAAGGGGCCAAAGGAAAACAAGCACACACCAAGCATCAAAATGGATTAAGCAATGCATCATTTACTCTGAACAATTGTGAATTTCTCGTTAGAATTTTGCGGAGAAAGGGTATAAACCAAACTCCCCAAGATTTGCAACTTATTACCTCTGCGCCTCTTGGTTTTGCACAAAGATGAAAAAAAAAGTAAAAAGGGGGCAAATCGTATAAAGGCTATCCTGCATGGTTTCCCGGGAATTTACTCTGCTGTCAACGAACTTGCGGAGTAAACCCATAAAAACGGGCTAAAAGAAGGCTTGTAAATTGATCCTAATTCCCAGTGTAACTGGAACGAAACAAACAGGAAAAAGAAAAATTAATCCAAAAACCAGGTCATCCTGCCCTTGGCTCTGTGCTCTTGGTTTTCAGGTCCTCCTCGAAATCATGATGGAAATATACAAAATGAGACAGCACCGTTCTGTGCATCATTCGAGAACAAGGGAAGAATAGTTTTGATGATCTTTAGCTTCACAGTAACATTGAGGTTGGATTCTCGATATAGCCCTTGAATGCTTTCAGAAATTCTGCCCCGATTGCACCTAGAGTAAGCGCACAAGAACAAAAGTTAATTTCTTGCCCATGATCCATGAAGCCATCATTTATTCCGATAAGATCTAAAGAGTATACCATCAATAACCCTGTGATCACAGCTCATTGTTGCCGACATGAAGGAACCAAACTCGTATTGACCATTGGCGCTGCCAGGTATCACCCTCCTCTCAGCTGCCCAAGCAAAAAAGCAGTTGAGTTAAAAATGAATCCCTATGTACGGACTAAAACAGCATGACTAAGTGAATGAGCCTGCCTAGCAAATAGAATACATTAACAAAAGGCACTACTAGCCCTTTTACGAAAAACAACTAAATACTACTATAAACAGCTGGTCCTATGTGCATGACTTCTGAGTTTAAGTACTAGATCAGGGACTTGGAAAATATACTTTTCAAAATACACTAAAATAATGCAGATAAATATATAATGCTACAATTATTTTTACAGAGTAAGCTAAGTGGCAACGAATTAGTGGAAACAAAGTAAAAGTGCAACATGACTTATTACCAGAACCAATGGCCAAGATTGCCGACTGAGGAGGATTTATGATGGCACAAAATTGCTTAATTCCAAAAGGACCTCCCAAGTTTGATATGGTGAATGTGCCTCCCTGAAAACACCACATAAAAGTTCTCATGGAAAAATGCTGTTGTTTCATGCAAAAATTAACTACCATACAATCCATATACCTCATAATCATCTGGTTTCAAACTGTTATCCCTTGCTCTTTGAGCCAACTGCTTCACCTCCTCCGCAATCATACCAAGTCCTTTCTTGTCTGCATCCTGCAACAAGCAAAAGTTAGAAACATTTTCTTACACAGATTAGACAAGTTTAGATTACTAACCCTGATTACTGGAACAAACAGTCCATGCTCAGTCTGTACAGCAACATTGATGTTCACGTTGTGGTATCTGCATGCGAAATGAAATTTTCATTATCTCCTTTCTTGCCAAAACTTTAGTCCCAAGATATGCCTGGTCAGAACTTACTGGCGGATAAAATCATTCATCCAGGAGCTATTACACTGAGGGACCTTTCGAAGAGCCAGAGCTGCAGCCTGTACATCAAATTAAGATAAATTCAGAATTGGAGGTCAGAAGAAAATGGACAGTCCACGAACATAAATAGGCTGAATCTGCAACAATCCAGTGGTTGGCACTTGGTAGACATAAGAAACCACGGTAACACGAGAAACTGGTAATTACCTTTATAACTAGATCATTAATAGATATCTTCTTACCACCGGAGGACTCCTGCAATGGATTCAGTTCCCCTCGCAACCTGCATTAGATTAAAAAAAAAGAACTACTTTTAAAAGAAAAGCTACAAAATCCAGAGAGATGGACTTTGAAGGTGATCCATCACATATGTTTCCTACAAAATATAGTGATTTAATAACACAATTAGCATTCAACATACTTGATGAGATTATCAACACGTGTGTCAACTGTCAGGTAATAATGTGGAATTGTTTGCTTAGAGCTTAGCAGGCGGTTCGCAGTAACCTGGACAGAATTGAAGTTAAAACACTATCAGATCAATAACATCGCATAAAAAACGACTTAACAGAAAGAACGTATGATTGAAATTACCTTTCTTATTTGTGCATTGGGAACATCGGTGTAACTTAGCCCTGGAGCCGCAAGAGCTTCCTTTCTGCAACCCTTAGCTACAGAAGTTTGTTTAAGAAAAAAATTATCAATTGAATTCTCACAGATAGAATAATAGCATAACACAAAATAAATCTGGCAAATATAAAGGAAAGCATAAAACCACACATTTGAACATACAGAGTTCAAGCAAATTACATTAATAATATTTCATTTGGATCAACCAGGATGGTGCTACTAAAACAACAAAATTATTTAGAAATTCAGGCACACAGGAACAAGTAAACTAACAGAGTTGAGTGAACAAAGCAAGCAAAAACAGATTTTTTTTTTCTTCTGATAACTTGATATATGGGTGACTGGATGTTCAAATCAAGTGATCAAATACCATACACCACAAAATGGAGTACATAATACGCATCAACATATGTCTGAATATGATTACTTTAGAATGGATAATAAGACAGTAAAGCACAAAGATCAGTGGTACAGCTTAACATTAAGCAAGAGGATTCAGATCACCAGTATACTGGTGCTTTCTTATCATTGACACTAACAGATTGCTATTATGCAGGAACCTGACCAGAGAAGGGCAGAAACAAGGAATTGCATGGGAAGAAAGTAGATTTATATAAGGGGAGTGCCATAGTACATACTAGTTACAAGGAAGTTTTAACATGTTTTCCTCGCCTAACATCTTTTCCACTTGGCCATTAGGATTAAAATTGAATGGTGAGAGAAGTATATATAAAGTGTGTATTACAGGGACACAGTCATAACCAAAAACCTAACTGCTCTTGCGAGTACAAGTGCATGCATGATTCAAGTGTTCTATAAAATCCCTAGCAACTGTAACACTTCATATATTAAACAAGCAACGAGCAGCAAAGGAAAAACATCACAATAAAATTTGACATCAAGAGTTCATCAAATTCAGAACTAGCATGATATGTCAAAGGAGCACACATTATAGCTTCAAAGCGATCTTGTTAAATATAAATTAATATAATGGTCATTGTTGAATTCTAAGTTACTCAACTACAAAATTCTAAATTCCTATAGAGTTCATCATTTATTTTATTTATTTATTTATTTATTTTAATTTTATTTTATTTTTTTTGGGGGGGGGGGGGGGAACTATAGGAGAAAGTGACATACCCAAGTAATCTTCAATGTCTGCCTTCAAAATGCGCCCATCAGGACCAGTTCCCTTTACACTCGACAGTGGAACCTGTTTTAGGCAGCACAATCCTTGTGTTCATTAAGTATGTTACAACAACAGTTGGCAAGTAACAACCTAGACAGCTAACATCAGAAAACTTACATTGTTATCTTCCGCCAATTTTCTAGCAAGAGGGCTGGAGAATATTCGATCTCCTGACCGCGAAGGTTCTTCAGTCCTTGGGGCCTTTAGCTCAGATGCTTTGGAAGGCTCTCTTTCCTCCACCTTTGGTTCTGTAGGCTCAGACTGAGCCTTCAGTTCAGAAGGGGCTACAGGTGCAGCCAAAGTTGAAGGTTTATAATCCTTAAACTTCTTGATGTCACCCTCTTCTTCCACGGTTACAGCAATAATCTAAAATGAATAGCATGGACATAATTCAACCAAGATTATGTCAGCGAAACTTAAAGACTGAGGTATTTGTAATAACTGTATTAGTAAACAGAGGATAATAAATGATTGTTCAAATATGTACCTCACCAACTTTGATCTCTTTGGAACCATCTCCATGAATGATCTTAGCAAGATAGCCCTCTTCCATGCACTCCATTTCTACGGTGGCTTTATCCTAGTCAGCAGAAATGCATTCAAAGGATATTTAGATTCTCTTGCAGCTTAAATAAAAGAAAATAATTGAGCACCACTAAAAATAAGTACTAACTAAGATATTGCTGCCTTAGAGATCAGAAAACTTACAGTCTCCACCTCACAAAGAACTTCACCAGGTGAGACCTTATCTCCTTCCTTCTTCAGCCACCTTGCAATGTTCCCCTACAGACAATACAAGTATAAGGTGTAATACTAACTAGATGAATACCCCGCCGCGTTGCTGCGGAAAATTAAGTTGCATAATATGTACAAAACTAAAACAATTTGATACAATTTTGAGCTTGAAAGTAATTGAGATTGCATGTTTTTAAGAGAGAAGAAAAAAGAGACAATTTGGACCATAGATCTATCATCCAAAGGCTAGAAATAATTGTGGTGATGTGGCTTAATGAGAGAAGAGAGAAATAGCATTAACTACACTTAGTGGGGATGAACTATATAAGTATATAGGATACATGCAATTCAAGGAAAAACACAAGAGGACATTATGATATTCATGATTCATAATAAAAAAAATTGGTGAGATATACCTCGGTCATTGTAGGAGAGAGTGATGGCATCCCTATTTCCTGATGTGGTGGCAGGTCTGGAATAAAGAAATTATGGCAAAACTTAAGAAATAAGACAATTAACAGAGTGCTATATGGATTATGGAATCATTGACTGGAGTTATGTACTACCTCCATCCCAAAATAATTGTAATTCTAGTTTGATTAGCATATATTAAGATTTGAGATAAAAGACTATGATATCCCTCATCAAATGGTGTATACATAAGAGTGGGAAGGTAATTAAGGGTAAAATAGGAATAAATTTGAATGAGAAGTGATTATGGGACAATTAGTACTCTATTGTGACAACTATTTTGGGACAAATGTGAATCCTAGAAATACAATTATTATGGGACGGAGGCAGTAGACAATTTTAACATAGTAACCAGAGCAATGGGAAGATGTGGACTGAATTTCAAATAGACTTTTCTTTTTGAAGCGGATAAACTAGATGCTTAGATATCATTAAAAAAAGAAAGTTGTTCTGATTTTTTTAAAAAAAGAAATAGGCGTGGAGAAAAATATCCAAAAATAGTGGAATACAGCATCACATGCATGTAAAAATAAGTACGTGGGAAGACAGGGTACAGTAAATAAAATAGATAGTAAAAAAGAAAAAGATCCGCAACCAAAATAACCAAATTAGTAATCTATCGTCAACCAAATATGTTTATAAGAAACCCTCTTGCAAAAACATGACAACCAAAAGGACTGAACAGCTACTTTGCAATATCCTGGTTATTTTATGAAGTTATCGCAATTAAAGGGCATAAAACACGTAAGTAAAGTACCTGCACTGCTTGAGAAAGATCTTGCTGAAGCTATCTGTCCACTGGAAAAGAAACAGGGAAAGAAAAGGGAACATTATAAAGACGCCATGGTAAACAGAAGTACAGAACAGCTATCAGGCGTTAGGAGAACACTATTAGAAATTTAGAATAGGACAATCAGATTCAAATCTCATTCCCAGGATTGGAGTTTGTTCTTAAGTAAAGGAGATTATCATTTAGACATGTACTAAAAAGCAGGGAGCCAGATAGGCATGATTCAGGGGCCTTGCAAAATATGCCAGCGATTTTTTTTATGGTGTATCTTAGCCAACAACATGAGACGCAGTGATCAAATATCGCTGGTTCATATTCTCTTGTAAGGGTGGTTCTCTCATACAATATGTCCCGACACTGCCACATAAGCTAACAATATCATAGCAGAAAATGACACATACCATGACAATGAACCATTGAGACCAGTAATAGTATTTGGGATAAAGTTGTTAGGTGATCTCCTGCAAGTGTAGCTTCCATTAAGTCCTAGTGACAACTGAAAGAGAAAATGACAAACTAGAAAGTCAGGACAAGACAATAATGGTCTCAATAAAGTGGGATATATTTCAAGGACATAACCTTGGAGGTCTCAAGCTCTTTTCCAGGTTGCTTGCGCTGAGGAAATCTGGCACCTCCAATTCTTTTCTCAGCACCTGTGGAAACCAAAAGCACTAAAACTTCAATGGTGAAAATTGCTTAATGAGGACATTCAATCAAGAAGGTGAATTCTCACTGTACAAATAAATTCCCAAAGGAACCAAATAACTACTATCTCAAGACAAAATGAGTGTGCCTATACTATGTCAATGAGAAATCACGCCTTAATTAAAAATTATAGTATCAGCTCAGGAAGCCAACCCATGCTTAGCCAAAGGTACAAAAATTAGTGGAGAGGTAATGTGTCAAGAAATGAAAAAATGAACATATTGGATTGTACTTCTGTTGCAACATATTTTTTTTGTACAGATGTTTGTAATCAATTGACAATCTGTCTATATTAGACTACAGACCACCAACACACAATCAATGAATGCCTCTGGAGGATCCAGGATTACCAACACCTGTGAAACCAAACGTTTTATAACTAAATTGCCTATGTAAGGCTCTATATTGGTTTCAGTTATGATGGCAGGACCATTTTGGTTTGACGCCAAAATGTGCCCTACCAAATTGTTGACCCTTCGAATAGTACTTTGGCTAGTGTTTGGTTTGCTACCAAAATATGCCAATAACACACATAGGTTGCCAAGAAAAAAAAGGCTAAAATTCACCTAGGTTTTGGTATTGCTAATATTTTGGTATGGTAGGAAACAAACAAACCCATAATACAGAAATAAAAAGTTATTGGAACAGAACAGAACTGCATGATTAAAAGCAGCAGACACTTATGAAAGAAATAAAGGTATTTGCTAACTATCACAGCAATTAGTCATGTGGAAGGACATCTCCAGTTGAGTTGGACAAACAGGTTGCTTGCGTACCGTGGTCAATTAGTTGACAAATACACACAATCAAAATAAAATGATAAAAGATGGGTAGCACATACCATTTCCCTTGGTGGGGAACGAACCAGAAGCAGTGGAGAAGTAGCGCACGAGGCCAGAACGCTCACAGTCTAGAGCATTGTGTAAACTCCGCAACTGCAGTAAAGCAGATTGAAATGTCACCGGGAATTGATTGACGATGGCGTAACATTACTAGCGCAGAAACATTTCTTTCCCGCTGCAGTAGGCAATAGATCTCCCGATCGACCGAAATCAGGTGAATTACTAGTCAATTCGCACAGACGGGAGCACAAGGAAATCCAGGAACGATCGAAAATTCAACCACATGCGGCACGCAGGCTCCACGCAGCGGGAAGGCAGATCAGAACAGATCCGATGGCTTTTCCGACACGTTGGGATGGGAGACGGATGCGCAGGCAGCCACAGAGAGAGGAGGCAGAGAGAGAAAGAGAGAGAGAGGGAGAGAGACGAACCTTGCGAGAGTGGCGGAGGAGATGCGCGGCGGACATGGCGACGGGAGAAGGCAATGGGCGTGGCTAGGGTTTGTCTCGATCGGAGATCGTTGGCGGCGGACCGACGAGGGGGCGGATCTCCTTGGCCACGGTCGCCGTGGCGGCGCTGGATCGGTCGAGGCAGGCGTACGAGCGTCTCCCGGACTGGCTGCGGCTCCTCCCGGCGTGGTCGAGGCCGCGGGACAGATGAGGACGGAGGGGGGTCGTGGTGGTGTATTGGGAATTGGGATGTCGAGTCGAGTCGCGTCCGGGAATCACGCGCCGGGAGGGGGCGAGAGAACAAGATCGGTAGCGAGTAAGCTTACCGGGGGGCCGGGCCTGGGAAGGGAGATACAGTCCGATGGTAAAAAAAAATATAGAGTTAATTTCATTTTGGATGATACTTTTTCTTTAGGTTTCACTTAAAATCATTCTTTGTTTAAATTTTTCAATTTGGACTAGGTAATTTTATCTTTGTTGCACAATTGATCACCCCCAAACCGCATCTTCATCACTTCAATGACTTCGAGTAAATTGTTAAAGACATGCCGGCAAACTTTTATATCTATATGCATGTTATCCCTTTACCCAAGGAGACGCTAGACATGACTAGCAAATAGAATTAGGTTGGTTCATTATGTAACAAAGGTAAAGTTACATAGTTCAAAGTAAGAATATTGGTTATAGGGTAGTTTAAAGTAAAACTTTGGCAATAAAATATGGCTCGAAATGCAATTCACTCAAAAAATATATACTAGATGAGTGAGTGAGAGTGGGGCAGGGGATAGTTGTAAAATTCTTTAATGTTTTGTGTGGAGCGGATACTATATGAAACCTCCAGTGTTGCAGCGGATCGTTCGTGTGTAATGTAGTTATAAAAATTTTAATATATATGTATGAAAAAAACATTAAAAAAGCCTGTAAAAGCATCATCTAAGTACTCCCTTCATCCTAAAATATAGCAAACTTGTACTGGATGTGACACATTATAGTACAACGAATCAAGTAAAAACAACAAGGATAGTATCTGTACTAATTCATCGAGTCCAAGAATAATAGTTTATATCATCATGATATAAGGTCATTCCCAATCCAATGACTAGGATAGTGTCCATAGCATTAAATAAGCTGCCACCTAGGATAAAAAATGATATGTCAAGTAAATAAATGAGGAAAGAGAAGAAAACCATGTCTTGAGACATGGTTTCTACACAACATCCAAGACATCATGTGAGATAAGTAGCATTAAATTGAAGTATGGAATAGTGGTGTTTGCATTAGAAGAGTGGTGTCTAACACTATTTTCTTGATGATGGGGAGTTTATGGAAATTATGTCTAGTGTCATAGGTTGAGAATGGTCTAAGTACACTTAAAAAGCCACATGGTCCACAGTAGAACAATGAATTCAGAAATACCATAAAATATTTTGTGCTTATTAATTGCTTCTGATTATGCACAATCATCAACGGTTGACTTTACGGAGTCATAATTTGGTTGAAAATGTGACCTTTTCATCCACATTGCCTTGCACTTGAGCCGATTAGTCAATGTTGTACATCAAGAATAACTCGATGGACATGCCGTGAGGAATGACCATAGTGGCACAATGTACTATGGGCAATGTAAGCGGAAGTTCTTATTCTTTTTATCTTTGGAAAGATCAAACATAAGATGCTCCTATTTCTTTTATGGAGTGTAGGTACCTCTAGGTAACACCCCTCGAGGTAGGCAGAAATTGGTCCAATGGCAAGCATCACCGTGAAGATATGTATGTTCGGGCTTGTGTTCATTCTCGTTGTCCCAACCTCGATCGGGCTGTGGGTATCGTATGGATAAGGCAAACGCTGCAGAGTGGTACTGTATTTGAATATACTATGCTCCTGATTAAAGGAGATATGTCTATGAGTGAATCCTAATTAGTGGTATGAGAAGTCTCTTAATGGAACATTTGAATTTAATGAGGAAAAGGCCTGAAATGAAACAACCAATTTTTGAAATGTAAATTGATTACAAATTGGCCATTTTGAACTATTACTAAGGTTTACAGTTAGTTCTAGTTTCTATCCTTGTGATACCTTGCATTAGCACATGTTTTGTCATGCATCTTTTGGGTTCTAGTCGTCCAAGGAGGTTGTTGAAGGTCGTTATCGATCAGTTTCAACTGTCAATATTATCAAAATAGAGGAGAATTAGTGATGCTTGCTATGCATATATATGTTAGAATAATAATATTCCACTAGTATTAGGTCTACTAACCTTTTGCAGAGAATGACAATAAAGTAGAGAAGAATCGACATCAACTCAGACGATAATCAATCGGACGATGTCGAGAACCAGACTTATGTATGAATGGGCCAAGAACTCAGAATTAACACGACAAACTGGGCCAAAATTCACAAGTCTGCGGAGAAAAACAACAGAGGAGGCCACCAGCCAAACCATGGGCTAGTTGGGTTGGCCCCAGGTTCGGCCGAACCTCCCTCATCGTCGCTGGATGCAGGGTTTCTTCTGGACGGTGTGGATTAGCTCCCAATGACGGTTGGAGGGTATTTCCGACCATTCCAACCGTCACAACCGTCATTGGGAGGCTATATAAACCCCTCACCTTCTTACTTCACTCATACACCTCAAGCAAGAGCTCTCTCATTTTTCTCAAGTTTAGTTTAGTAGTATCTAGCTGGTGGAATAGGAATAGAGTAGAAATCAGGAGTCCGGAAGTCTTCAGAAGAGTTCAGGTATGGCTCTAGTAGCTTTTCTCTTCTCTTTTGTAAGCTTTGTACTTTTATTAGAATACTCTTCTATATACATTTATGGTATGAAAATACTTTCCGAGTATATGAATGCCTACTTTACATTATGTTCATGTTATACTGAATATACGGCTAGCTTATCTGGGAGATGCTTTGGTGCGGGTATAATGTTTGCTTATGCAATTACTCTATGTCATGACGATGATATTAGAGTAGTATCTGGTAGTTTAGACGTGGTGTCTAGATTACGAGATATCGTTATTTGGGGTTATATGCTGCGGATGAGATGTGGGCCGCTGATGGTGACAGCTCAGTACGGGTATTCCTCTGCGCCTGTATATAATCCTAAGTTAATTTCCTGGGGATGGTACTCCTCCGTATTTAGCCCTAGTTGTATAGACATGACGGGCTGTCGTAAGGAACTCAGCAGTCAGGGGTGGCTTCTCGAAGTACCAGGAGGGCATCGGATAAAGGGTATTAACTAGTATATCGGTTAACTAGAATATATGTATACTATGTATATTAGAAGTATAGGAATAGATTGTCTTTCTCTTTTCTTTCCACTTAGCTTAGATAATATATTATGAGAATGAGTAGCTAATGCTTATGTGTCACTCTACCCTTGATTATCTTAACACCTGCTTAAAATATGATTATTACAGGTAATATTTAAATTATTAGTCAAGTTCTCTCAACATGATCTTTCCACGAGATAAAATAAATAAGATACCCTTGGAATACTCTCGGGTGAAATGTTATAATGATATATCCGTGCGCTTGTGGATAAACTCTTTAACTATAATATACCAGGAGTATTTCTACGCCATTGCTGAAAATTATATTTCTATTAATGTCGTTAAGAAATACCAACAAAGTGTAAGTGAAGCTTTATAAGAAGATTGATCCTATTAATGTCGTTAAAAAATACCAACAAAGTGTAAGTGAAGCTTTATAAGAAGATTGATCCGTTCAAGTTGTATGAAGATGAAGGCGGTGGTGCCAAGTTGCATCTTTTAGTTGTATGTATGGTCGTAGGTCGGGATGAAAACGGCTTGGAAATGAATGGAAATCAGATCTACTATTTTTGTTTTCTTTTTTAACTAGAATCGAAAGTGGAAACCCCAGATACGAAAATTACATAGAATATTATCAAACATAAATATGGAGTAAATATGAATCGGAGCGTATACGGTAACGAATATTTATCGGAATAAAAAATAATTCTAACTAAGATTCTAAAATCAACGAAGAGATGAAGGCCATTATTTTTTTATCACAATAAATCAGCATTTCTATTTTTATCAATTAAATAATAATACACACGTACACTTCACTTCCCTAAAAAAGTGCAATAAGCAAAACTATATTCATCTGGCATTGCCTAATAAAAGAAAATAAATTAATAGTCATTAGGCAAAAGAGAAATAGATCTAAAGCACCAAACTATAAAAAACATCTCCATTCAACTAACCACATCAACACTCGGTGCAAATCTGAACATCCGGAAGAGAAGGGTAAAGCTAATCAGCTGTATATTAAAAGCAATTTGTTTCCAGTTCCGAGAAAAAAAAATTCTAAATTCGTTTCTAGAAAGTTTCTCATCAATTTCGGTTTCCGACAGGTAGTAGCATTACCATGTCAATTTCAGTTTCCAAGAAAATATTCCGAAATCATTTAAGTTTCCTATATTTTCTGAACAAATTACTCACTACTAAAAAAGGCAAATAGCTGGCTGCCAGGTTTTTTTTTGCTAGCGGGCGGTGGTGCCACCAGCGACCTAAGGCCAATGAAAATAATACATATTCACTAGTGGCCGGTCGGCCACTAGTGAAAATCGACTTTCATAGATAACCAAGCTAAGATGGTCACCGACAAAATACGATTTTAGCTGACAACTGCGTAAAGAGACCTGCCATCGAAAATATTTTTCAAAGCAAAAAAAAAAAGAATTGAAAATCAGGATCCAAAACAGCCAGTACAGAATCACAAATTCTCAAAATCCCCCATCACATACAGTCCTTGCACTGTGGTCATCGTTGTAGTTGGCGAGAGAGAGCGTAGGTCGTCATCTTTAGATCCATGCTCGTGAGGAATAGCATGGCCGACTGGTAGTTGCCAATCTGGCGTCGTCTTGCATGCCCACCACCGCCGGATGTGGACGTGTGCTCGCAGTAGAGGTAGTCGTTGCCACCATTGTCACTGAGCCGCAACCCTAGCCACCATCACCACTGAGGGTCAGCGTCACCGAGGCTGCGTATCGAGTCGTCGCTAAGCTTGTGGGCAGAGCCATCACTGAGGACGGCCGCCACCAGATCTAGCGGTCCAAAGCACTACCGCTGGCTATCTTCTTGCTCCTCATCGTAGTCGTTTCGTCCGTTTGTCCGCGCCGGTTAGCAAGGGAGCCCGAGGTCGCCAGAACTAGTGTCCATGGTCTCATTGGTTGTCAATGCGGTGGCGGTATTTGTAGACGGTGGTTTTCTCGTTGGGGTATGTGATGGTAATGATGCGATTCGGCGGCTGCCGCCTCCATGGTGGTAGAGGAAGGGCGGTAAAAAGGTGATGTCCTGAAAAATTATTTTAGTTCCGGTCGATATTTTCTGTTTCGGAAAATACTTAAGGCATCTACAATGTAAGACACTCTTAGAGTGCCCTCACTAACTGAGGGTACTCTAGGGGTACTCACCTCTACAATGTAGGCCACTTCTAGTTAGTCAAATGAGTGTCCCAACCCAAAAAAGCCCCTTTCTCTCCTCTTCCTCTCTTTCCTATTCTACCCCTCTCTTCCCTCTCTCTCTTTCTCCCTCCGCACGACCGCACGCACGTTCCTCTCTCCCTCCGCCCGTCGTTCCACTCGCTGCCTGCTTCCCTCTCTCTCGCCGCCACCTACTGCGCTTGCCGACGCTGCCTCCCTCCTCGCCCTCCCTTCCTCTCTCCGACGGCGAGCGGTCGTATCGAGGAGACGGTGGCGGTGGCCTCATCGACGATGGCGCTGTCGCCTTCTTCATCGCGCTGCCGCCGCCGCCTCCCTCCTCGCCCTCCCTTCTTCTCTCCGGCGGCGAGCGGCGCCTCCGCCTCGCCCTTGACGCGTGGGCCGGTAACAGAGGGGAGAGGGGTGGAAGAGGAAATCGAAGCTATGGGGTACGTCGCCTCAATAACCTACCTATGCAATGGGTTGCTTCACTCCGTCCCCTTGGAAAAAGCGAGCGAGCAACACGTTCCCCATCAGGGGCGCGCGTTCTGTCCCAGGGGGACGACGCAGACAGAAAGCCTAACGGACGGCGCTAGGGGGATGGGCCGAAGCACCGCATTGGTGATGCCCTTATCGATATCGGAAACATCCCGAACCGGGACAGTTGGTGCGTGTGTCAAGTTTGGAGTTTTAACAGAATCTTGTCAGTTCGTATAACGAACTTCCTGAGCGGATACGTGTTGGTGGAATATTTGGACCATCTCGGTGCGTTCCCACGTACAGTTAGCTCCTCTGCTAATTGTATGGACAGTTTGCCAATACCATCGAGCAACAACAGAGGTAACAGGCCGCCTGGTTACGCATGGGCTCAGTTGACCCATAATTTAATTTGTTATTATTTTTCCCTTTTCAAACAAAACTCTTGTGGATATTTATGTTTGGTGCATTATTTTTTCTATAAGTAATCTAATGACCCCACATAAAATTATTACTACCTTAATTGTTTGGAACTTACTCCGCTACTACCATTTTAATAATTGTAAGGGTGAGTGTCAAAATTCTTTCCATGCACCATTTGACTAAAAGGCGCTAATTAATTATAATTATAATTGTTCGGGAGTGTTATTAAAGTTTTCTTTGAGGTGGCACTCACTTCAAGTGAATTGGTGTAATAATTAGCTGTAGCTCGTTAAGCAAAAGTCAGGATGATATTCTATTACAAGCAAAAGTATGGATGATATTCTATTACATTATCTAAAAATTGACTAAAAGGCGATAGTCTTTTCACCCATACTATATCATTTCAGTGATAACAACACCACAACACTGCCACACGCTCCTAATTAGTACTCCTTCCGTCCTGTTTTAAGTGCAACCATGAGTTTTCGTATCCAATTTTGATCGTCTGTCTAATTTGAAAATTTTTTTAATTAGTATTTTTGTTGTTATGAGATGATAAAATATGAATAACAATTTATACGTGATTTATATTTTTAATTTTTTTTCAAAAAATTTTTAAATAAGGTGAACGATTAACTAGTTGAGTACGGAAAAGCATGACTGTACTTAAAATGGGACGGATGGAGTATATATTCTTACTCTACAGACTGTATTACTGTACGTCTGTACCCTTTATTTACAGATGCATGCATCTAGCATGGCTGCATGGGGACCATGTCCACTAATTAGTCCATGCAATGCAATGCCCCAGTTCACTGCACCAGTAAGATATACGGGCAGGTACTATATACTATACGCTACAAATGGTCACCAATTTGCTCACGTGTGCTTTTTTGTCTGACCTTAATTGTCACTGTGCATGTGATGAAAGGCAAGCATGAGTCCAATTTTATGTCACGATTTGAAGCAGTTACGTTGCAGCCTTTTTTCACATGGAATCCACTACCAACTGATCGGTCGAGTTCACACACTGCATTGCAAGGCATGGATGTGATCGAGTTGAAGTATTGAACTCGCGATCGATCGCGCGCGAGAGCTATGTTTTTGCAGGTTCGTTCGCATCATCATCAATGGCTAGTTTGCTCGGACATCCAGAGGAGCTCCTCTAGGTAGTCGGCGCCGAGGTCCTCCAGCTCGAGGACGATCTGCTTGTGCTCCCCGCCGGTCGTGGCGGACGTCGTCGTCGTCGTCTTGTTCGCCGTCGCCGTGGCACCGGCCAGCTCTGATCTCTTCCGCCGCTTTCGCTTGGAGTGCCGCCCCTTCAGCGCCAGCACGGGCGAGCCTCCGGCCGCGCCGAGCGCGAGCGCGCGGAGCGACTCGCGCACGCGTTCCACGGGGAAGTTGAGCGCCGCGGCCGCGCCCCGCGCCGAGAGCGCGGCCTGGTCGTAGGCCATCGCGGCGGCCTCGGCCGTCTCGAACGTGCCGAGCCACACCCGCACGCCGTTCCGCGTGGAGTCCCTGATCTCCGCCGCGAACCTCCCCCACGGCCGCTTCCGCACGCCGATGAAGCCCGCCGCCGCCGCCGCCGCCCCCGCCCCGCCCTCCTCCTTTCTCGCCGCCCTCTCGCGGCCCGCACCGCCGCCGGGCGCCGACACCTCGGCGCTCCCCGCCGTCTCGTAGTCGTAGCCAGACGGCTGCGATTCCGAGGATGTCGACGACGCCGCGCCGGCACCGGCGGCTGCGGTGACAGCCATGCCGCCGCCGTAGTACCAGCAGTGGCTGTGTTGCTCCATGTGTGTGACTCTGTGAGCTGGGAATGTTTGACTTAGCGGCTGCGATCACTGTGATGTGTGCGGCGAAGTGACGGGGCGTGTTTGATTATTCCCTTTCCAGGAAGGCAGCGGATTAAATTAGCGCGGGGTTTATATAGAGCCCCGAGAGGGTTGGGTGGCTCTGTGGGCGACGAATTTTCCAGGACGGTGCGGTGGGGCCCGCGCGTCGACAAATGACTATGACATGTAGGGTCATGAAAACCTGGAAGTTTGGGCGTTGTCGTTGGACTTGGCTGACGTAGGGCGGCTGCATAGGACAAACTAGCGGGCGTCAGCGTACACGATCCACACCCTTGCTTTGCTGGTGGTGTCCACTGAGCAGGCCTCGGCGCGCCTTCGTTAAGTGGCCCAGATCACTAGATCAGAAATGGATTACTGTGTTTTTAAGCTAGTACTCCGTATCTAGCATCACCGATGATCCAAGGGGTAGTATAAGCTATAACACACGTGTCTCAAATTAGGGCTTCTTATTTTATTTATTTACATATAAGAAGCGTCAGCGATGATATGGAGGATGGTAACGTACTATTTGCTGCATGGACAAGCATATAGGTATATAGGTGGTATTTGAATCTTCTGAAGATGAAGGTAAAGATTAAATGTTCCACGTAAAATGAGGTGGTAACAACGTGTGCTTAATTGCGTTTTAATTATTACAAACTTGAAACATGGATTAATCTGATATTTTAAAACAACTTTTATATAAAAAGTTTTCGCACGAAACACACCGTTTAGCAGTTTGAAAAGCGTGCCACGAAAATCCAAAACTTCATCTAATGTTTGTAGTGGAAACCAGTGGCAGATTTAATTTGGGGGCGGGGGGTCTTGAGACCCCACTACTGCCACTGGGACCATGGAGACCCTCCTAAGCCCCCACTAAAAATTATTTGCATAGATTCATAAGATATGGGAGCTGAAGACTCTCCTAATTTGTTTAGCCCCCACTATTATTTTGTTCTAGATCCACCCTTGGTGGAAACGAACGTGGCCATAGCCATATACTACGTGCTTCCCCAAAAAAAAAAAGAAGAGAGAGAGAGCATATACTACGTGCTGAAACCGCGCAAACAACGAAATTGAAGAGCACCTCGCAAAAAAAAGAAGGAAAAAGAAAGAACCAGTTAACAGCGGCCACAACAATAGGCTGTACTCTGGTACTAGCGGCTGGCGTGGAACAATGATAAGTGGGTATACCAAGAAATGGTTTCCCCATCGCAGGTTGGGTTGAGTTTGCCTTGGCATGATGGAAATTTGGGCTGCGTGGTTATGGGCTGTTGGGTAGCTACTTACTCATTTGTTACGAGCACATTTTCTAAACGAATAAGTCTACTATACATCCTTAACTCTTTCCTGGATCGAATCATATCCCTTAACCACAAAACCGGGTATAACACCTTTCCCAACTTAAAAAACCGGTGCAAATCGACTCTTTAGGTGGTTTGCGAAGCGATTTTGCTGACGTGGCATAATTGACTTGGTCCAAGTGCACTAATGTGGCAATCCAGTCATTAAAGGAATTAAAACTAGAAGTGGGCCCCACTTACAAGTGACAAGGGTAAGAATAAAAAATGGTGGGCCCACCTATCAGCTCCACTACTACTCTCTCAATCTCGAACAAATTTTTAACACAATTTTGTTTTCAAATTTAGATAGCTTGCAAAAGGACAGTGACACTGCCCCTTAAATTTATAAAAGTATTTCTTCAGGTTTGCAAGTTCAGATAATGCAAACTGAGCAATGAGCATGCTATATTCGTTTGATCGATCAAAGTCGACAAATAAATTGTACTTCATTTTATAATTATCAGACGGATGCAAGTAGATCTACAGTGTTGAAGAACAAAATGAAACACTTGAGGGTTATAGCAAGGTTGAGTACTACCCATCGTACTTAGCAAGTCATACCGAATATGGGTATGATGCAAGGGATTACAAGGACAACATAAGCGCTCATTTGTATAAAGCACTAGTAAACAGTTGCGGTTGAAAACAATAAAGCTATGGATAATGTTAAGCAATACTCCCTCCGTACTCGTAAAGAAAGTCGTTTAGGACAATGTTTAAGTCAAACCTTGAGAATATAAATCATGAATAACTCTTAAGTTGTTAAGTTTGAAAATATAAAAATTATATGAATAGATTTGTCTTGAAAAATACTATCATAAAAGTATACATATATCACTTTTCAATAAATATTTATAGAAACAAGAAGTCAAAGTTGTGTTTTGGAGACTGTGTCGCTGTCCAAAATAACTTCCTTTACGAGTACGGAGGGAGTATTGATCACCGATCAATGCTACACCGTGTTAATAGGGCCCAGCCATCCACCTGTAGTATACTCCCTTCGTACTTGTAAAGGAAGTCGTTTTGGACAGCGACACGGTCTCCAAAACACAAATTTGACTTCTTGTTTCTATAAAAATATTTATTGAAAAGTGGTATATGTATACTTTTATGAAAATATTTTTTTGGACAAATTTATTCATATAATTTTTACATTTTCAAACTCAACAAATTGAGAGTTATTCATGATTTATATTCCCAAGGTTTGACTTAAACATTATCCTAAACGACTTCCTTTACGAGTACGGAGGGAGTACCTATTCTAATATTCCATTAAGTCAATTTAATTAAGAGTGTGACTAATCACGGTGAATCTTGGTCAATCACCCATAACAGCGGGCTTGACTATTTGAATAGTTTTACTTTGACTAAAGGTGTACAACTATACTCAGAAGACACATCCCCCATGCATGTCTCCATACACCAGCGTATCGCCATGGTACCCTAGTAAGAGGCTGTGATAGGACCCTTTGCATAACCATTTACACCACGTTGAGGTTTTGCCCCTACCCAGACCAGGATAGGTGCTAGTATTTCTTACGGTTATAGATAAATCCGCAAGATCACGGATACCGATCTAGCATTTTACCCTGGAGTATTCCAAGTGTGCTGTATTTATATTTCTGCAGGAAAGGTAATGGTGTAAAGATAGAGTTCATACATCCTTAATCAAGCTATAATTACTTTACTATAGTCTAAACATGGGTTAATTGATAAATGATAATGGGTAATGTGACACACAGGAGATTTTCTCTAATAAATATACACTAGGCAGTGGAGAAGAACTATAGAAAGCTAAGGTTCATATGTACTTGTATATTACTAATGTTTAGTAGTTTACATTTAACACATACATGCTTACAAAGCTAGCACTTAATTCTAAGCACACATGTACTACCGAGAGACCACTCCCTATTGGTCTGCCAGCGTGGTTATGGTATTTTACAAACTCTTACGTCATACCCGGGCGTGGCAGAATACAAGGGACGAACATGGCTGTCACCACCTGCCACCTGCCATCTACCTCACTTTCCGTGGGGCATACCTACATCCAACGATATTTAGCTAACCTAAGAACCATCCTTATGTTAATAAATAATGTCACCATTTCCCCCAGGACTCCCACCTTTCAGATGGATAAGTTGGAACTAGTGCAATCCGTTAAGATCATTGGACCGTTACCGTAGCATAGATCGACTAGCCTAATCGATCAAATGAAGCATATAAATAAAGTACAATCTACTCATAGAGCACACATCTAGTAAACTAGTAGATAATTCCTTTATTACAACTATAGTCTTACAAGAAGGGTAAAGTACTCAAGGCATACAGGAATCTCCGAGAAGACTATAGAACCAAAGACTATTGTAACCCTAACTCCACTACTACTAGATATAATACAATATGGAATGAGAGAATTGCTTCTTGAAGTGTGTGTTGAAAGTGAAGAATCTCCTCTCCTTTTATAGCCTCCTAATGATGGTTGTATGGCGGATTGGCGGTTACTGAGGTCGGTGCGCTCCTAACCGTCATTAGGGAGGGCTGAGATGTTGCCACATGGAAGATGAAGATGAGGGGTAGCCATGGCGGTTCGGCCGACCCCTGGGCCCCACCTCTCTCCACTGCCTTTCACCAAAGGCTGCCAGATGGGCCCCTATGGTGGTTGAGGATGGTTTGGCCCCACTTTAGGTCGGTTTGGACTGACTTGTGAGCCCATCAATCCATGGACTCGTACGTGATTCACTGGAGGTATGTTTTTTTTGCATGCCGGCTCATTCCCCCTTCACTTTATTGTGTAATCTCTGCATGCACATTAATTCTTCAAGACAAGTGGAACTACATTATTTAATACTAGCATACATATAAGAAATGTTAGTTCTCTTTTATTTATTATGGTAGTTGACGGTCGAAATTGGTACTTAACAACTGTCAACTAACACCCCAAGCTAAACTTTTGCTTGTCCTCGAGTAAAGATAAAACTTAGGTTGTTTATGATCAGGAGTTGCTACCATGTTTTATGTCACAACAGTATCATGCCCACAAAATATCCTTCTACCTAGAATTTGAATAAGTTGGCAACAATACTTTAACCTCTCTTATCATACTCCCATGGGTTTTTTAGCTTCTCCTCGTCTTGGGTAGTTGAGAGGTAGAACGGATCGTAGAGCATTAATCACTTAGTCTTTGTTAAACTTTCTTTATGGAGGTTTTCAAGAATTTTGCAATAAAACCAAAGTTCCTCCAATGATACTCTCAGATCGCTCAATGTGTACAATTTCTCACCAAGGCGTAGTGTTGCATCTTTTTCATCCTACCTCTAAAAGGTTTATAGTGGAGCTCAAGGTGAGAAAAAATAATGAGACAATACTTTGTACACATATTTTGCAAAATCAAAGAGAGGATCCAAGGAAGAAAGCAAATCATACAATATGATCAAGATGTGCAAAGTGTGTGGCTATATGGTGGAAGGTGGTATGTGGTACTCCTTTGTCATAGGCTCTCTTTATTCCTAATTGGAGATATGACTATTTTTGTTCTAACTATTTTTCTCATGTTGCTCAGGAATTATTGTGAGCATACACTCCTTTTCTCCTTTTTCTCATAATATGCTTGAGAGCATTTTCTATTTTCTACCTCCTCCTTTTTTTTTTCTAGAGCCATATGTTTTGCGAACTGCTAGGAGCAATTTCTTTACTGACATGAATGGAGTATTTATTTGGTGGATGAAAATGTTGC